GGGTTCTTGTTTTCTCTCACAGCCCGGAAACGTACCGTTACATAAAGCGATATCTCTACATTAGGACAGTGTCCCTGCAATGGACTGGCATTCCGTCCAAGGTGCCCCCTGCCTGCTGTCCTGTGCTTCCTCGGATCGGGTCCAGAATCACCGCGACCCTCTACTGCACTCATGGAAAAGAGATGGACTATTTAAAATAAACATTTCACTCAACAAATTGCATCCTGTCCAGGGTACCCCAGCTTTGGGCCTTATGCTGCCTGGGACAGGCTCCAGGCCCCAGCCCCCCCCCCCCTCCACTTTTGCCCTTGGATTTCTTCACCTCTGCTGGTGATTTCTTACTTGCCGTCATGGAGCTGCCCACCAACACCATCAAGCCCGCAATAGGGAGCCGTCTACCAGACAGCACTTGGAAAACATCAAAATCTGATCAGGTGGGGGTGGGGGGGGATACTGAAATCCCAAGCTGCTGGTCAGCCTCTCCGGCGAGCCGTGTCCCCCCGAACCCCCAACAGATGTCCCTGTGGGTCTTGGCGCCGATGCTAGCCTTCAGCTCGCCGGGCTCCTGAGGGCGCCGTGGGCTTGGGGCCGTTTCGCCGGCCCAGTCCCGCCCCCACGTCCTCTTCTCGCTCCAATTGCAGTCACCGGACTGCTGGCCCGCGAGTTCTCACGGCAGATTGGCGTTACGGTGGCCATCTTGGTTGCTATGGCAAAATCCCGCCATGCTCCTGGAGGGGGGGGGGGGGTCTACTCTCAGCGGCTCGGAGAAACAGCTGCTAGGGGATATAAACACTTTGCTGAGAGGTACGGCAAGGGCTGGGTTCGGATTAACAGTCTTCCAGTGCAGAGAACAACAATAGAAAGAAAAAATGATTCATATAGGCATTAAAACAGACATGCTTACTGAGGCTAAACTCCCTTTATGGACACACTGAAAGAGGAGGATTGTGGGTTAGGATATATCTGTCTCCATGTCTGTTTGAACAATACTCTTTTACTGGTATTTTTTATTGTCATTTTCATTGCCTGTTACACTGTCATCATCCAGTGGAACTTTAATATATAAATGTGGCATTTTCTGGGATCTAGGCTTCTGGGGAGTAAGGTCTGGTTGGTGGAGGGGTGGGGGGGTGGTTAGGGTTTGGGATAGGCATGGGCATCAGTTGACCTGAGGGACAATGCAGACCTGGCACGGGGAGGGGGGGGGGGAGGACTTTTTTCATGTTTCTTTCACGCTCGGATGGGGGCCCATATTGAGCTGTCAGTCTCGGTGAGCGAAGACTGTCCTCTTTCTCGCAGATTGGCGTGAGCATGCGTCCGTGGGCGTCAGAGCATGACGCGAGCAGCTGGATCCCCGAGTCAGCAGATGCACGGAGCCCCCGATGGCGAGACAGGAAGCCACCGTCCACCATGCGGCGTCTTCTACATCAGCTCCTCTGGCTAGAATCGAGGAAATGCGGGCATGCTCCAGTCTGCAACCAGAGGATGGTGTGCAGTTCAGTGGGTTAGGCCTCTGTGATCAGAAGGTTGCTAGTTCTGATCCCATGGTCAGCAGAGTGATGTCACTACTGGCCCCCCGAGCAAGGCCTTTAACCCCCAGTTACCCCAGGAAGTGTTTGATCCTTTGATGCTTTGGGTAAAAGCATCTGCTAAATTAATGTAATATGCCTCACTAAACATGGTAGAAAAGTGAAGTAACCTCAGTTTTGTGATTATGCTCATATGTTCGCAAAAAAATGGCATTTTTAGGAAGTCAATGTTTGTTTATCTCTGCTCTAATAAACACGTCAGAAGGTTGCAGCCTCGTCACGGCGCGGATGCATTCATAGCCACGGGGAAAGGAGCAGGCGTGCCATTTAATTGCGATCTCGGCTGGGGAACTTGGGGCCACTCAGGCTGCATTAATTACCCAGCGAGACAAACAGTTGGCTAATGGAAGTAGCATCATGCTTAACAAGTACAGCAGGTAAACCAGCTTTGATGGGTTTACATCCCTCCATCTTCCATAGCCCTTTTTGAAAAGGGATTTACAGCAAGCCATCAATTCATTCCTCTGCATGTCTTTTGAAATACAGGAGGAAACTCACACAACATGCAGACTTGCATATGCAGATTCAATCCCCAACTCAGGAGGTTACATAAGGGCGCGTTTGTTGTGGCCCCCATGCAAATGCTTGGTTTGAGTGGCGATAAGCACCGCTGCTGATGTTACAAGATGACCAACTAACTAACCAACTAATGCTGTGTGACTCATCTTCATCACGTGCCAGCTGCAACTCACAGCTGATTGGTCATTGTGTGACCAGCTGACCTCCCTTCAAATGTTAATGCCATGTTCTATGTCATAGAATGAGTGTAGGGGTGTCTCTACTTAGAGATTCTGCATAAATCATTCCACAGTAGGTTGGCTCCTTACTGCTTCCTTGAAGAATAATGTTGGGACAGTTAGAGGAGAGACATTTTCTTTTTTAGAGCAGCGTTCCAGCCTGACAGCTACAGCCAGAATTATGTAATATCACGTCCCCCCCAAAGACAACCAAAGATAACCGAAGACGCATCACGAGGCCGGGGCTTGAGGAGACCGCGGACAGAGGATGAGAGAAGATACAAAAGCAGGTCAGAAATTCCGTCCTCATTAATATATATGTGAAGGAAGCTGAAAACTGCTGAAAAGGCCTCGATGTCATTAGGCTGGGGGGGGTCTTTACTCACCATGAGGCTTGCGTCCGTCCCAAACGGGCCAGCAAGCCGCTCCATAACAATGTCAAGACAGCATGCACGACATTCCACAAATAGTCTCCCAAGAATTTCATCTGCGACATTATTTTTTGGGATATAAAAATGCTTTCATGCATGGTTAAGAAGTGCAGGGCTATTTATTTGCTGTTAAGGATGCAATCTTAATGGGGTCAATTTCTAATTGTTCAGTGTGGGGGGGGGGGGGTGATGTACTTGCTATTGATACAAATTGTGAAAATTCTTATTACATTTCCCTTAAGTGAAACTAGCATTAGCTAAATCATCAATATAACTGAAGCTCATGCTTTCCAAAATATTCCAAAAAGTAGGGCTCTGAATGGCTGATGAAATGTGTGTGACATATTTAAAAGCATGGTTCTTATTAATATTTCAGAGCAAATTAAACAGAAAGTGTCAACCACCTCTCGGACTCTCAGAGTGACTGTGGATGGTCTCCATGATGACATGACCATCGATTCGTCGATGTTGCTTCATCTCATTTCATGCCGGGAGCTGAGGTTCCCAAACTCATATTACTCAGAAGGTGTCACGGCAACAGGGCCATCGCCATGGGAGATGGGAGTGTGGGTAGGCATGGCTGAGGTATCACAAATGACATCTAAAAACATACTATACTATAATTATTAAACCTGCGATATCTGCTATCAATCACTCCCTCAGATTTAGGTGTAAAATAGTCACTATTAGACCTGGTTCTAAAAAGCAAACAGCTTCCGAACAGCAAATCATGGCTGCCACTTAGCACAGAACACAGATGGGGTCAGAAGGTTCAGTTACTGCTTGTTGAAATAAAGTGGATCCTACCCGGCACTGCGTAGGGATACCTAATAATGTGGGTCAGAGTCCTGCACGGGACCACTTTTGGAGACCTGCACCCGTGATTATTTCAAATTTAAATCCGCACCCGCCCAGGCCCGTTAACATTCAGCCCGTTACCCGTCCGTACCCGTGATAAATTACACACAATTATTTTTTCTATGCACCTCTCAGCGTAACAAGCGCTAGGCCTACATGAATTTTGAAGTGAAAAGTCAGTTTAACACAAAATCAAATCAGATAGATCTAAGCTATCCATACTGTGACTAGCGTGAAAGAGAGAACACGACGACACGCTTCAGCAAGGATTCAGACGTGTATGTGAATGTTTGTCGAGGCGGTTATCTAATGGTGCGTTAGTTTTTCTCTCTTTTTTTTTTTTATTTGTACAAACCATTATAAACAACAGTATTATCAACAGTATAATCAACAGTATACAACCAAGTTTTTCTCTCCGAACTCGGAAATTCCGAGTTGAGTGACATCACGTCCGACAATCTCCCGTTCGAGCTACCACATCTCGGAACAAACATGGCTGCCTCCATCAACACGCTGCTGTGTGTTGTTGCTTTATATTTTAGCAGATTTTTAGTGAGATTATTTTTTCCGAGAGACAAACACGAACTAGTCAAACTACATTAAAAGCTTTATAAAATATTTTAGCACATTCATAGCAATATTCTTTTTTCGAGAGGCAAACAAACCAAAGACACTAACAAGTCTGGTAAAAATCTGATATTGCATGATAGGATACTGTTTACGGTCATGATATGGTATTCTCTAAATCGAACACGTGCAGTTACATTTATAACTATTAATACATTTAACAAAATAAACATTTTTAAAGATTTATAAAATAGAATTACTGTTGAGTGTGTAAGCCGCCATGTTGAAATTACGTCACAGGAGCATCTCGCACAACAAAATCTTGTCCGACGTCAACGTCATAAAAGAGGCGTGTTTCCGACGGGAAGTGGCGTTTTTCGTGACGTTTTCATCCGAGTTCCGACTTGGAGGTACCCCGGGCCCCGACCCGACATACTGAACAAACTGTGATGACAATTTGTACATGATAGTCTAATACATAGATATTTTCGCTTATATGTTATTTTTGCAGGCTACAATACTGTTTTGATTGACCTGCTACCCGCCCGTGTGTAATAAAATACCCGCCCGTAAAATTCCAGAACATTAAAATCCGCCCGTTTCAGCAACTATCTGCGGGTACCCGACCCGGTGCAGGACTCTGATGTGGGTCCTACCCAGCGCCGCGTAGGGATACCTAATAATGTGGGCCCTACCCAGCGCCGCGTAGGGATACCTAATAAAGCGGGCCCTGCCCGGCACCGCGTAGGGATACCTAATAATGTGGGTCCTACCCAGCGCCGCGTAGGGATACCTAATAATGCGGGTCCTACCCAGCGCCGCGTAGGAGTACCTAATAAAGCGGATCCTACCCGGCACCGCGTAGGGATACCTAATAATGTGGGACCTACCCAGCGCCGCGTAGGGATACCTAATAATGCGGATCCTACCCAGCGCCGCGTTGGAGTACCTAATAAAGCGGATCCTACCCGGCACCTGGTACCTACTAATTAAGGGAATAGTGAGTATATGTATAACAGTAATGAATTTTTCTAAAACAGACTAGTTAGTACTAGTTCTCATTCATGATAACATGGCATGATTCCAGTAGATTCTGTCCCTGATGTACCAAAGTTATCCAGCACCATGTCCCTGAGGAGGTCCAGTCTGAGCGGCACCCTGAACCTCTACTCTGCACTGCAGGATAGTTCTGACCACACAGCTGGATGTTACTGCTGGTACACAAAGTTGTGCTTTTGAATTTGTCAGCAAGATTAAAAATAAACCTCATTAAAACAAACAGTAATAAACCATATGAATACACATTCCTCAGAATTTCTTCATCTGACTATGATTCAGGTAAACTGTGAAGTATGCTATAAATGAAATTTAGATACTGTACATGACAGACAGCAAACCTTAGTATCTAAACAAACCCCACAAAAAAACACAATCAAGAACATACAGTAAGCACGCCATGTTATAAACGTGTGTAGAACTTTAAGGGTTAGCACTGTAAAGCTAAGCATGGACTCAGAACATGGACCGCAGAGATCTGGCTTTCATTTTGTAAAGCCCAACCCATTTACAGTATCTCCCAATGGCAGTTAAAAATATGCATGTAGTCATGGAAATTTACAAATCTCTATAAAAAATAATACAGGTACCTGAGAAAATAAAAACTGAATCCTTAATGACTTTAAAATGATACCACTTTGTTCGATCAAATTTTGCTCCAACTAAACAAGAGTATTTATGAGCAGGACATCCTGGCAGCATGGCAGTTAACGGAGAACTGGCAGTCTTCCTGAGAGACAGCTGGCTGCTCTTACAGAAATTCTCCTTGCTGCGCCATGTCCATGTTGGGCGCATGCAGGCAGCCAAAAGGAGTGGGGAGTATGGCGCAAGTGCCACCTGGTGGGAAGGAGTCTGAACTGCACAGCTCACTCTCACCTGTGACGAGTGCAACACGCAAACGGACAGAGACCCAGATCTGAGGGGAGGATTATGGGATAAAGAGTCATTAACCAATAACGCAAGGGGGAGGAGTCTCTTCAGGGATCAATTTAATGGATTACAACCACTAAGGTTTTTGTGATGTAACAATTTCCTATATATTACACAGACAAAAACATAGTAAAGTCAATTTCTATTGTCATGACAGTCATGATTTTATTAAAGATTTTCCACATAAGTTGAAGAAAAACAATATCTTGTTACAACAAAACATTTAACAAATCTTTACAAATTGCACTGTTTTCCATGATACTAAGTGTCCAGAATGACCTAGAAGATGACCGAGGTCATATTCCCTCCAAACCCGGTTCCTCCATGACGTTTAAACAAGCAGCTGCTACAGACTCCTTGATAAAAACCCGACAAAATTTTACCGTTATATTTTAACATCTTCACAAATTGTGAAGAAAAAATGGCACCCTTTAAATGTTATGTCCCCTAATGCCCACTAGGAGGCAGAGCAGCTCACCGGCAGCTGCTCTGGCTGTCCTCCGGACAACAGAAGGACCTCTGTGGCTCCACAGCATCTCGTTTAGCGTCAGCGCTTCCGTTTTTTGTGGGTTTTGATCATTCTTCTGGCCTCCCTTTCGTTCTCAAGCTCGTTTTTTCTTCTGCAGTACATGCATTCTGCAATCAGACAGAACATCGCAGCTCTATGAAGGCGGCAGTTTAACAAATCAGGTGAGGCTACAGCTAGACAACCGAACTACTCAAAAACCTCAAACACACCTTGTGTGTCCTCAGGTATTAAAGTCATCGTTGGGGGACATTAATAAACACATCTACATCTCATTCAAAAACAGAAATTCAGAATTTAAAAGCTCTATAAAACTAATAATAATTCAATTAATTTCTTTATGTGGAGATTGTATGTTCTTTCCCAGTCATGTGAGTTTTCTCTTGCAATGCAAAGAGTTGTGCTGAGACCAAATTGTGGTTATAAATTGCTCAAAGTGTATGAGTGAGTGTGTGTGTGTGTGTGTGTGGGTGGGTGTGTGTGTGTGTGCGTACCCTGACATAGACTGGCATTCCACCCAATGCGCAGCCCAGCCTTGTGCACTATGCTGCACAGAATGTTACCTCCCATCCATGATAAGTAGAAAGGCTGGTTAATAAACATTACAACCATGCCATTCAAAGCCCATGTGAAGCCATAGACAAGCCACTTCCCCCTGACACCCCAACAAGCTTCACTGTCAGCACCTGCTCCCCAGGAGTGAGGTGCATCTTCTGAAATGGCTGGTTACATCAGCACCCCCCTTAGAAGACAGTACTCTGGGCAGGTTCAGAAAGTACAAATCCAGGCCAAGATTTTGTTTCAACCAACCAGTTTAGTATAAAGAGTCACATTCACAAAGTTCTCAACTGGTTGCTTGGAACAAAATCTCGGTCAGGATTTATGCTTTCTGGGTCAGAACTTCCCACCGCTGGCCCTAGCCGGCCACCTGTCGCCTAATGCAGTGCTTCCAAACCTGGTTTTCAGGGATTCACAAGCACACCAAGACCATGTTTTTGCTCTTTCCCAGCTCCCAATAGCAAAAACGTAGACTGGGTTGGGAAACATCGGCCTAATGGGTTGGCCGGCACAATGAGACCAAGGCAAGCTGAGAAGGCGTTCTTACTGTTTCCGACCAGAGTTGAAGCCACAACAACTTTCATCAGCAGCAATTGCCGGGATAGCTGAAAGTCCGCCCTCGCGTGGTACGTCCTGAAGTGAAATGCCGGCCACCAGTCTTTCCGTGTCTCCCACCCTTCCTCAAGGAGATGCTTCAACTTCCTGCCAACAGAGACCCACTTTGAAATGACAAAGGCCAGCCATCGAGGAAATTCAAAACAACACACGAACAGTAAGACAGGTACCACAGGGGATCCCCTACTTCCTTCTGAGGAGTTTGATCATGTTACGAAAGCAGGTCCAGGCCGCCACGCTATGCTTCCAACTGCAATCGTCGAGGAGATTAAAAAGGACATCCAGCGCCTCTTTCAGACTCTGTTCAGTCCCTGGAAAATATTGTGCAGCTATTAAGATTTAAAAATCAGACCTGCCTACGCAATTATTTAAATTTTAAGGAGGAGATTTACCTGACTCAAGCAGAAGCGAAAACAACTCCAGCATCAGCTCATGGCTAGGAACCAAAGCCCCCAGAATCTGTGGAGAGGATAAGACCGCCATTTGTGGTAAAGAGCAGTGCCAAGTGAACAAAGCGAGCTTTGTTAGGACAGGCGAGCCTAGGGCACCCCGCACACACCTTAAGGACCCTGATCTGCTTCTTCTCTGTGGACCCCTGCCTCTTCAGGAAGCGATAGAGGTAGACGTGAGCGTTGGGGTTGGGCGGGAAGCGGCTGTCATACGCATACTCCTTCAGCACGTTCAGCGCCCCCTCGTGGTCATTGTAAAACTCCAGCATCTGCCGAAGCAGTACAGACAGTCCGTTATCCACAATTTTGAGAAACGTGCCTTTATAGACCCCGTCCAAAGGACACTGCTAAACCCCATGTCGCCAGCTTAACGCGCACACTTCCGGCGTGACTCACATTAACATAGCCGACGACAAACGGATCCCACACTCCGGGCAGCTTCAGAATCTCCTGCAGACTGATGCATGCTTGCCGGAAGTAGGTGTGCATCTCCTGAATGGCGGAAACGTCGCCATCGTCTGGCACAAAGACAGACAGCAGCACACTTTTGCAAGGGGCGCCACCCTCACACATAATAGCAAATTTAACAGGTTCTCTCTCTTCAGAACAGAAATTATATTGAGTTCTTTGTACTTATACAGCCATTCGTAATTTGGTATTACGAATATTTGTAATATTTATTATTTATTAGGATATTGCTTGTATACTGTTTACGTTATTATATGTATAATACATATTATATGTATAATATATACAACATTTATATAATATATTGTTTATATATTGAGTTCCTAGTATTGTAGCCATTTGTATTTTTGGTATTTTAATATTTGTATTATTTGTTATTGGTACTTAACTTGTTAATTATTTTCTTACTGTCCGGGAGCAACTGTATACACATAATTTCCTCAGGGATCAATAAAGTATTCTGAATCCGAATCTGAATAACTGACAAGCCAGTATGGAGGTGACCGTAAAATTCAAGTGTACTGGGGAGTAACTCATCCGAGTAGTGCAGATCAAAGAGATTATTCAGAAAAATTGCATCTTACTAAAGAATGTTATTATGCCGATAACTACCTAACTGCCTTGCACCAGTGACATCACACTAACCCAGTGGTTCCCAAACTTTCTCTGCAGGGCCCCCTTTTTCTAGATAGGAACATTATTGAGCCCCGCCCCCCCCATTCAAACTACATAGGTTCAGATTCAAACTTTATTTGAAATACAACTCCCTTTTCTAATTGAGCGAAACAAATGCAATTATAAAATACAAATGGTGCAATTTCACCACTGTGGGAGAAAAAAAGAGCAAACAATTAAAAATAATAGTCCAGCATAATTTTGGAATTATGCGAATGCAGATTTAACGTTCCTGTTAATATTCATTGGCGTACACAAAATAAAGTTTTTTTTTACGATTACCGCATTTTGTTTTTAATGATAATCGCAGGTTTCAGCCTATACTATAACACAAAACAACAATAAATCATAGGCATTAATTGATAGTCTCCCTGCACTTCATGTAGAAAATTTTAAACCTCGTTTTTCATGATATGGTTAGATTTTTTGGTCCGGCGCTGCAAAACGTTGTCACGCGTCACCATGTCACATGGTACAAAAACCTTGCAAGAGCAAGATGACTTGAGACAGATCGTACAGCACCTCTCAGCCGGCTGATGACACAACTTTGCCCTTATTGGCTGAAGATCGTGAAGTTTGTATGACGTTTGTATCCCAGGAAGTTCCGATGCGTTATCTGCTATTTCTCCCGAATATCACGTAAAGCAGTGAGAACTGGTTTTCAGTTAATTTACCTGGTAAAATAAAGTTTAAATAAATTACATAAATGCTCTGATAGTACATGTGAGTTAGTTGTTTATTTATTGTTAGTTACTGTAATGTTGCGCTGCTTTATTTGTTTAATCGTCCAGTCTGTGAAGAGATTATTTTGCTCCTGAGGCTATTCCATTGGTGCGCCCCCCCCCCCCCGCAATACCTGCCCCCCAGTTTGGGAACCACTGCACTAACCTGACCTGACACCACAGCAGGTTTAATTTACCATATAGAATAGCTACAGTAACTGCCCCTATCCACCACTAGGGGGCGGAAGACACACAGCCAGACACACATAATGTCAGGTCCCTACTTACCATCCTCAGAGGAGGAACCCTTCTTAGAGATCCAGGAGAGATAGCTCAGGAAGCCTCGGTAGGCATGGATGAGCTTCATCTTGTCAGCCTGAACGGCAGACTGTTTACCATACCGCCAGCTCTCTGCCGTTGTCAGCTGCCGTACGGCATCATCGAAATTCCCAGTCAGCAGCAGGTGGAATGAGTGTTCAAGAGAAATCTAGAACAGTGAAGCAAGTTACAAGCAGTCTGTGGACATGCCAAGCCACCTACAAAGGAGAGTGATAGTGTCACATCACATGACCTGGCCACCTGACCAAAAGCCAGTAGAAATTGTTTTGGAGGAGTTTGACCAGGGGGAAAATAGCCAATCGGTGCTCAGCATATATGTGGGACCTCCTGCAGGGCAGCTGGAAAACCATCCCAGGAGGCCACATCATGAAACTGGCACAGAGGAGACAATAGGGTCAGCCAGTCCCTGCAGCAATCGGGGTTAAGGGCCTTGCTCAAGGGCCCAATGGTGGGATCACGCTGCCGACCCAGGGAATTGAACCAGCAAGCTACTGAGATAAACCCACAGAGCTGGCCCCATCAAATTATTTTTTAAATACTTTTTTTTGGTCAGTGTGACATTCCATATATGTTATTTTACAGTTTTGATGTCTTTATAATCATTCTGAAATATAAAGAATGGTGTAAATAAACCTTTCTATGAGTGGGCATGTCCAAATTTTTGACTGGTACTCTATAGGAAGAAAGAATGAGGACAAATCTGAAGGAATCTGAAATATCATTACAACAGACCACTGGATAAGTCATTATGGGGGGGAACCTCTCAGCAATAGGAAAACAAGCAAAATCAAGTAACTACAACCGGTGAGGCCTCTACACTCTGCAAACACGCGCAAGAAGTCAACAGGCAGCATAGAGTTCACACAGAACCAGCAACAATATACCCAAATACACGTCATCAGTGTCTTTAAAGCAGGTCGTTCCAAAACATAACTCTGTTTTATGCATCCCCAGTATCTGACTGGATGCATTACAGCAAATGTCACAGTACCTGGGTTGTGTACAGCTAACCCTAACCCTAACCCTAACCCTACCTTCAGATATCCTCTCACTCCAGTGTTTTTCATTAGGTCAAAAAAATGATTCACATCTTCAAGTTTGGAGTTTGGGTGCTGATGAAGAATCTCACTTCCCAATCTAAAAATTATCTGAAAAGGAAGAGAAATTAATATATTAATCTACCACTTCACAACGATGCACTAGAGCAGAGAATTACATCGAAATACTGTTGGATTTTTCAACAAATGAATTTACTTTCTGGCGTTTAGATGTTTTCCACCTGAACAGTGTTTATCCAACTACTCCCATCATGATCTTTTACTGGAGAAGTACCTCCCTATTAAGAAGCTCCCTCAAATATACAAGGGTATTTTCTAACAATCTATCTCTGGCCCTACAGTAAGTACTTTTCTCCACCAGTAAGAGCACTTCTGGGACTTGAACCAGCATCTAGCTGGTTCAGGCTCGTGTCCTCCATGCCACCCCCAAAGCGCCTCACCTCAGTGGCCAGCAGCTGCCTGGGTGTGCTTATCTCCTCCAGAGTCTGGAAGTAGCTGATCAAGTACTCCGCTGCCTCCTGCCAGCGGTGCTCAAGCAGACATTCCCGAATCTGATTCAGGCAAAGCCGGGAACTTCGGTGAAATCCAGTCTCCTTGGACGTCTCTGGGGGAGGGAGAGGGGGAACAATAAACTAAATATTCCAGGACTTTGAGATCCATGGCACACAAACATTCAGGCCATTACACTTGCCTGGAGTTTCATGGCATGCTAGCTATCAATGGGGGACGTGGGGGATTGGTAAGAACAGTGGAAGAGCCTCCAACAGACCTCCATACCACGGTGCTGGGATAGGCAGGTCCGGCCATTTGCTCCTCTTCCGAATTGGCTCCTCCTCCTCATCATCTTCATCATCATCATCGTTGCTAACATCATTATCACTGCCGCAGTCCCTCACAGGTGATGTCATCCATTCCGCACTGATGTCATCCATGGCTGAGTAACGCATCAAAATCACACGATTATTGACTTATTTATGCTACAATTTGTTGTGTTTATTCAGATAGATAGATAGATAGATGGTTGGATGGATGGATGGATGAAGAGCATGAACACCCTGAATGGTTTGATTAACAGCGAAAATGATAAAGCACTGAACCATACACTTCATTTAATGCAATATCTAATTAAAACAACTAAAAACGTCTGTAAACTTTTAGCAATCTGCTTCTTCAATTATTTTCCATATAAGACAGCTTCTCTCGTAATGTCTGCAGTCCTTATAAAGGCAGGCCGACATACTACTGCCTACAAAGCAGCCTAAAGATGCAAAACATATTTGTGATGTTTTCATTTCGAAGTTTAACTCAGCATAAATCCAGTCGAATTACATATTTTACATCTGCATGTCTTACAGTACATAAGACGCAATAAATATGCATGTGTATCCTAAAAACAAACGCTAAACTATTTACTACGGGAGCGTTCCTCACCCAGCAAGTTTCCGTAAGCGGTACCACACCGCAATACGCATGGACTGGTTTTTGGTTTTTTTTCCCTTTGGGGGGGGAGGGGGTTGCCTTTTTCTTCGGTGACTTTAAAGCTTTTTAACATACAGCCATTTGTAATCATGCCCCCTAGCGCAGGGGAGGGTCGAACTGTCCGATTAAACCTGTCTGCTGGTTAGGGAAAGGGTTTCAGGATAACTGGCCATCCGGGGTACAGACTATAGATCCTCACATTCACTTTTATTAGTACGTAAATCCCTATGCGTTATGGCTGTTCCTTAGAGTGGTACGGAAAACCCACACACTCATATGTATGTGCTAACAGCATTTACATGTCAGCGTTGCAAATGTAATCCACTGTGGTCTTGTGGAAAATAATGAAATGCACTACATGCTTTCAGTATACCAGAAGAATTTTACCGGAAATGTTTATGGCTGAGCTCACCAATTCGCGCTGCTTCCCCGCATCGCCTTGTGAATTTTAAGGTGACGCATGTGGCATACATTTTCTGTTAGAATCCTTTGATTATAAGACCTTTGATTATATGCTGTTTTATTGACTCGCGCGTACACGCCAGTTATCCAAATGAATCCACAACGATTTGCTTTCTAGGATACTTAATATATATGTATATAGTTTAATATATAATACTTGTGTGTGCGTGTACACCACACCGCCTGCTTGCAGGAGCAGAAGACTGCATTCCCCTAATGGCTAAAATAGAGTTTGTATAAACTATTTGTTGCCGGATTTCAGTGAAATAAGTAACCTGCGTGAACCATCTCCACCCATCTTCTGAAGAAATGCAATAAATTTTCCTATGATCCTCCCAGATGTAAGACGGACATGTTTCGCAAGTTCCGGTGTTAAACCCAAAGGCGTTACGAACCCCGCCGCTAGAGGGCGCAAGTCCATGAGAGGGGAGAGCCAGCCTACTCAATACAAAAATGCCTTAACAGGGTTAGGCTTTATTTATTACTTAAAAAGACCCGGCTGTCCCATTCCATGTTACCTGAAATACCGGATTATAATTTGCTTTAACATATTTAAATTTATTCTGTGCCAACTAGGCTACTTAATCGTTTACAAAGCAAGTAAACTCCTCTCCCAAAATAAAATTCTTGCCTTCACATGCTTGAGGTGTAACAACCAAAATCTGCCTGCATAAATAAAACCAAAATATACGCGTAATTACGTAGACCTGTAATTAAATAGGCTTAATAAATAAACGCACATATAAATAAAAAATTCTTAGGTGTGACCGAGGCAAAACCAGCTGACAAGGTGTGGTTAATTTGCACTTCTATCGCTGGTAAACAAATCCTTCGTAGAACGAAACGTCAATGTTTTGTATTTTTAATTATTCACAACAATAATAATAGTTTAATAACTTTATATACCTAATACTAATAATGCTAAATATGTTTTGGCACTGTGAGAAGTTTGAAAACGTGGCGGGATTAAGCGTGGGAGTTTCACGCAGGAAAAAGCAACTGCGTTGGGCGTGGGCGATCCCTCCCTGCTGGATCGGGTTAATGTAACCCGACTCCGGCGGTCAACATCCTCCAGGAACATCCTGCATCTCCCCGGTTGCGCTGTGCAGCCTGCGGATTTGCTGACGTGTCGGGCCGCCACTGCACATGCTCGACCAGCAGCGAGCCCTGGATCGGCGTGCCAGCATGGCTCTCTCCGGCTTTCCCGGATACCTGCAGCTTTTGCTCCTATGCGCGACTGCGACATCCGCAGCCGTAGATAGGAGGTTTTCGGACTTCAAACGGTGCGCCGACGACGAATGTAGCAGTAAGTGTTTCCGGACGGGTGAACTTTGGAATCAGCCGTGCGCCGGCGCTCCACCAGCGCTGTCCATGCAGCGCATACGCTGTTATTAGCGGCCGACTCTCTGCGTTGAAGCGCAACCCAGCGGGGTGCGGACAGAAAGCGACCGGGCTGATCAAGGACGAAGTGCGTTGTAGGCGAGATGCGGGAAGCGCGACACGCTGTAAACAGGCGGCAAACGTGGAGTTGAGGCGTAATAAACGCACCGATCCGAGCCTACTCGGATGGCAATGCCCCCCAGCTTCTCCCATCCGCTTTGCGAATTTGGTCCGTTCCTGATCTAAAGTGAAACTCCCAGTAGCCCTGATCCAAAAGGCTGCATGTCCCAGCTGGCCCAGGCTGTTTTTCACCTTCGCCGCAGTATCCCTAACCCTACGTATATTACAGCTCTGTTATGTAAGGGGTGTATTCTGTTACAGTCATTTATACATTCCTGACACGAAGGTCTAATTTCATGCACTTTCTTGGATCCCATTTGATTGAACGTCTCGGGCAATACTGACAACTTCATTACGTTCAAGCTAAGGTTACTAAAAGTGCCGTTTAACTACTGACAGAGCATGATTTAATTTCTCTCAGAATCGGGATAGCCACTACGTATGAGAGTATAGTTAACTAAACAATGATATGCGCATGAACTACTACTGCGTATCTCAAAAGGATTAGCTTTTATATTGCATAACATTTAATGCATCGATAAAACAAGAGTAAATGGCTAAGAAATAACGGGATAAGTCATGAAACCTGTGGTGCTTCTGAGTTTGTCAACGATAACGGCAGCATGTAGGCCTTGATGTAGATGGTTGTATCGTGGTTTCTTCTTAGGTTCGCAGAAGAGCTGTGTGACTGTGGGAGGCGGCAGTCGAGTAACTGATTAATTTAATCCCTACAGTGTTGTTGTGTCGAGGAAAAGCCGCGCAAGATTTTACCGGACCGGATTGTCGGTTCTTGCCCTTTAAAAAGGGAGAGACTGTATACGTGTATTATAAACTCGCCGGGAAAAGGAGCGATCTTTGGGCTGGAAGTGTAAGTATGAGATTAAGTTAGTCAATATACTATACTAACTAATGTACCATCCACAATATAGATGTTTGTGGATGGTACAGGTGAGTAGAATAAATACATGTGTAACCTTGTCTGTTTAAAGTTAGTACATTGTATTTGTGTCTTGCATGGCATGAATAAATACAGTAATGTTTTGCCTTAATTTCAACATGAAGTCCAGATCACAGTAAGTAGAGTCAGCCTTGTATGTGTTTTCGTCGAATTAACAGACCACGATAATCTGCTTCAAGGAAAACAAGACAGAAAACATTTTTTTTCCTCACAAATGTTTCTAGGTTGGAAGTGCATTTGGTTACTTCCCAAAGGATCTGCTCACAGTTAATCACATATACACAGAGAAAGAGGTGGAAGTTACTACAGAAGTAAGTTGTCTGTATGCTGTATATCCATGGTTTAGAAGGAATTTTTTTTTAGTCCTCGTGGTGTTGTATAGCTTTGTATTGCTTTTCTGAGGTTAGGTTCTGTATAGTGTTTTCTGACATACCGTATAGTTCTTCCTCTGCTGACTTGCTTCATTGGAAGCTCAGCCTAGTGGCATTTATACCTAACTTGGCTCTTTAACAGCTGTATGCTTCTAATGAACTGTCTGTCTCATTTATACATAGCTTTGGATGAAAGGGCCTGCTAAACAAATCATGCTAGATTTCTTCTTGATAAAGTGGTCCCTGAGAAGACATTAATTTAGAGTGTAATTAAAGTGTATTTTCTCTATGCAGGAAACAGATTTTGTATGTTTTGATACGGGATTCAACACATTTGAAGATTATGATGTAGATTCTCTGTTGGCGGCAGTGATGTTGCCAACAGAAAGTGAAAATTCTGCCGCGAAAGCATCAAATGATGTGGATCCAGGCAAAGATGGGGAGATCCACTCAGGTAGCAGGGAACAGGCACCCGTGGAATCCTCGCCTGTAGACCAGGACCACACGTCTGATACAGATTCACAATCTTTAAATGATGACCCAATCAAGGACTTTGAAAGTGAGAGGATTGCCGAAGATATCACAGAAGAGAAATATCTTGGTGATTTGTCTCCTGAAGTTTCTATTCATTTGTTAAAAGAAATGCCAGCAGAAACCTTAGAAGCTTATGAACTAGATCATGTGAGACAGACTGGGGCTCAAGATGAAGGCACCAACAATGGTCTACATAAAGATCAGTCAGTGGGATCTTCTGTCCTAGACAGTGTTCATCCAGTGGAAAATAAAACCATATTTGCACCTCCAGAGGTAGACCAGGACCACACGTCTGATACAGATTCACAATCTTTAAATGATAACCCAATCAAGGACTTTGAAAGCGAGAGGATTGCCGAAGATATCACAGAAGAGAAATATCTTGGTGATTTGTCTCCTGAAGTTTCTATTCATTTGTTAAAAGAAATGCCAGCAGAAACCTTAGAAGCTAATGAACTAGATCATGTGAGACAGACTGGGGCTCAAGATGAAGGCACCAACAATGGTCTACATAAAGATCAGTCAGTGGGATCTTCTGTCCTAGACAGTGTTCATCCAGTGGAAAATAAAACCATATTTGCACCTCCAGAGGTTCAAGATCAGTCTTTAACTACAGCTGATGTTAATATTGAAACGGAAAGTCATTTTTCAGAGGGAAAAATAGTTCCTGAATTGAAGACAACATTTGGGTCAACATTTGATGCTGTTACATCAGATGATGAAGACACTTGGCGCATCACCCCTAATTATGATGAAAAAGAAAACAAGGAATCAGAAGACCAACTAGATGATGCTGGCGATTCAGAGGAAATACCGTTACTTGCTTTTACTGAGAATAAGACATCTCAACCTGATAGGGACATCTTGCAAGCTTCTCATTTAGAGGAAGACAATGACTTTAACACAGATCAGTCTGAAAATCAGAACAGAGACATCAAAGATGAGAGAATGTCAACATCATTGGGAGATACCGATTTTGCCATTGTCAGTGGTGACGAAAGTACAAATCAGGTCACTAGTTTAGAACGGGAGGTTGAAGATAATGTGGATGTCAAGGAATTTCACAAATCTGTGCCTGAAAAACCAGATAGCGGAGAGGAACAACATGCACCACTGTTCGACTCTGATTCTCACCAAGAGCCCAAGGAAATGGCACATAGTGAGGGACAATCCAAAGATGCCATTTTTGAGGAAAATGTAGGATCTAATGATAATGATGTGAATAATTTGTCTGATGCTGATTTACCTGAAAATTTACCTGATGGAAAAACAGGTGAAGATTTATCAGATGAAAGTCGGTTAAAAGGGGTTGAAAATGACAACAGGACTATTGAGTCTGAATTATCAACAGTTGATGCAGAAAACAAAGAATCTTTAGATATTTTTGAAGATGTCTCAATTGAAAAAGTTACTGAGCACTCACTCAGTGAGCTTAGTGATGAACATGGAACCTTAGAAGCTGAAACAGGTGAGACATCCAATGACACCCAAGAATATATTGACGCGTCAAAGGAAGAAAACGCATCACTTGAGGTCACTGCCGTTGAACCGTCTGCATTTCCAGGTGTCAAATCATTGGAAAATACATATACAAATGCAGCTGAGGCAAGTAAAGATACTGCCCCGGACGTTGCAGTGACTGCACAGGTGGACAGAGTGAAGAAGGAGGTCATGGATTTGTTTACACAAACATTGGAAAAAGAAAATCTGTCCAGAAAAGAAGCAGAAATAGAAAACCATGATGTATCAGTTCATTTAGACTTGGAAGAAGCAGAACAAGAAGTAATGTTACTTGAAGATGAAAATGCTCTGTTGTCCAAAGCATCCAAAGAAGAATTAGCAACCAAAGAACATGATCTGGCATCCAAAGAAGATGATTCAAATGATCTGGATCCTGACAGTCTGCAGAGAGAGAATGAACGAGAAGGTGTGGAAATCCACACCAGTCCAGAGGTTCAGAACCTAGAGGACTCTTTGGCAGTCAGAGATGTGGAAGCTACAGCTGGAACAGATATGGAAAACAAATCCAGCCAAGTTTCCCATGCACCTGAGGATATTAACATTGAAAAAAAGATAGACTTGGCATCTTCGGAGTTTGATCAAATTAATGTGTTATCTGAGTCTGAAAGTGAACATAAAGATGTGGACTCAGAAACAGTTTTAGAGACTGAGATTAAATATGATGAATGTGTACAACAGCTTTTTCTTCTCAGAAATCACTTTGAGAACAAAGATCTCGAGTGGCTTTACAGACACCTAGGCCCCCAAAATCTTCTCCATGTGGAAGCTATGTTCATTGACCTGGAGCAGGAATTGAGGGCAACCAGGCTGTCACAAACGGGCACCAGTGAAGACATTGAAAAGTCATTGGAAGACATCTTGGAAGCCTCAGAGACATCCATTTTGGATGAAATCGAAAGGATGTTGGATGCTCGCGAGCAGAAGAGTGCCGAAAAACACCAGGTAGATGGATATACGTTTGATGAAGAGGCTGCAATCTTGGATAATTTCCAAGAGCTGGCCTTTCAGCTTCGGCAGAAGTACTCGACAGTCAGTGACAGTACTCCTTTACTATCTGATGATCAGATTGACTTGGATTCTGGTAAGATGCTACATTGCTTTCTGTCTTCTGGTATACATGTTTAACAACATGTACAGCAAAATCAATTGGAAATGATGCAAAAAATAAAACAATGCGCCAGATTTGGTAATAATATTTGTATCTATAATACATATTTAACATATTACAGGTGAAGAGGAAATTCCAGAATCTGTAAAAGACACATTTGAAAACGTCACTACACTTACTAGGAGTGCAGAAAGAGAAAATGAGCCTGAGGGTGGGCATGTGAGTGAAGCCTTGGATGGAAGCCTTGACAGCAGCTCAGAAAAGAGCTTTGAGGAGGATGGGGGTCACTTCAACAAGAACAAAGATATTCAAGGGGCTTTTGAAGATTCTGCAGAGATTCAAAGAGGCCCACAAGCCATTTTAGAGAGTCCAGTAGATATGGGATTTGGGCTTGATGTTGAAAGCCCATCTTCAGGTATCACATTGCTCTTGGAAGATGTCTTTTTAGTTTGGGAGTATTTCGTATTTTTTGATTACTTTTTTTTTTGAAGAATATGATGTTTTTAAAAGTAACACCCAAATCCTGTGTCCTTAGGGTCTCTGGATTCACCCAGTACTTCTGATTATCATGAAGAAGAGCAAAGGAGTCATGCTTTTGGAATTGACTTTTTTGACTTCGGTAATACTGTGAATCTCACTCAGAGTTATTTGGACACTTATGCTGAAAGGGTAAGTTATTGTCTCTGTGTTAACCTATTTTCAAATTAGATGGGTAGATAGAGAAATAACCTACGTTTGTTTTCCATTCTTCCAGTCGCTTAGCCAGTTACGGGTTGCTGGCTCTTATATATTTTGACATTGCCATCACTATCATTTTGTTACTGAAACTCAAAGCACTTCTGTGTGGGAACGTTGTCATGGGGCCTTTATCACGAAGCACGATTTTTGGGTTAGCAAGATGACTTGTCGGATTTGAGGAAGATAGTCCATTTAAAGTGGGGTACCTAATCCCAACAAATTATCTAGCTAACCAACAAATCTCGCTTCGTGATAGAGACCACTGTCGCTATCGAAATGAGTCACGTAACCACGCTCCATTCGGTCTCCGGGCACAGCCGAACAGATTTCTTTTACTAACATGATACATCCTGATCACAGAAGCTCTATGCACAAGTGTTCTCTCTACAGTTAATCTTTCGAACGATTTTTGTTGTCGGTACAAACTGACTTCCTGAATTTTTTAAAAATGATAATTTATATAATGCTTATTGCTACATTAAATACTGAACTGTAAATACGTATAGTTGTTGTCAAAATGATCCTCGGCGACGCGTCGCCTCCCGATGACGCAGGCGGCCAGGCGCCTCCCAGAGGTTACGTGTAACAGCGCGAGGCCGAAGTCCGCCTGCCGCAGCTGGGATCGAAAACAACAGTCGGCGCTTAGCGGTATCTACAGCTTGTCAGCCCGTCTCGGGGCGCCTTCCCCCGCAGACAGTAGCCAGTATTTATTTATACAGTTAAACCACCGGTGTGTTTAAAAAGCTTCCGGAGGCCTCGGAGTTTAACGCTACAGCGCGAAGGAATTCCATTTCCGCCGCTTTACGGAGCTAGTCGGCCTCCCGGTGCCCGGGCGTGATGGAAGGAAAAGAGGCGATATCCTCACCTGCCCCCGGACTGGAACAAGCCGCAGCCGGGCATGTGTTAGTGATGAAGGCGATGGCGGGTGTAAGTAAGGGCCGGGAGCCGCGACGATGTAGCGCCGGGTTACTCGGGGGTGCGGACGGGTAACGGTGCCCCTGTCGCGGCCGCTTCCTCATTTTTGTGTGTGTGTGTGTGTGTGTGTGTATTATATATACATACATCCATTTAAAACCACGCTCGAGGAGACTTTAGCATTTATAAGTGACGTGTGCAGATGTGCTCTCTCTCTCTTACAGGCACACACACACATAAAGCATCATTACTTATTTCATCTTCATGATAATCGGAACATGTCGATCGTTTAACCTTTAATAACTTGGCCTGGATAGTGACAGAAGCAGTACTAACTGCCTGCCTGCTGGCCTCAGCTGAAAGTTGAAACATGATAAGAGGTAAAACACAAGCGATGAGGCCAGCAATAGGTGACCTTGGTGCTTTGCTTGTTTCTGGTTAATGTAGTTCTTCCTATCACTTAGTCACTGCGGCTTCACAGATATTTTCATTTCAACTACATCCAGCCCTTTTTGATGTGTCCAGACTGACTTATCTGAAAGTACTACGCTGTAATGTATGGTGTCTCATGGCAAAAGTTACATGTGAATATTAAAACTTACTGGGAAGTGGATTTTAATATGGATGTTGTTCATTTTGTGGACTTTGTAGCTCAAATGATGATGTCAACAACCAAATGTCTGAAGTTTGGTTGGCATAGGCACTCCTGCTCACAGGGTGGACACTTTCAGACATGGGTTTATTTGGTCGCTTGTTTCTTTAGGTAATCGCCAGCCTGCCTGAAGAATGGCAGCCTGGCCCCAGCTTCCACGGCCTTCCTTGGCAACCGGTCCTGGCTACAGCCATGGTGGGAATCCTCACTTTCCTGGTCTTCGCCTGGAGGACAGTTCTTGCTGTAAGCGTTTGTCTGTTCAGTACCGTTAGCCGGCTTGAAGATTCCTCTCCTTTGATAAGCAGAAATCTCCTGAATACTTCCACTTGCGCTGAAGTAATCACCCTCTTCCCCTTTTCAGGTCAAAAGCAGAACATATCAATGTAAGTGTGTGTCCCTTTTTTGCTTTACTGGGTTTGTTGGCTGGGCAGCTTGTCTCCCAATGAAATCCATCCCTGTGTGCTGACACACCCTGTCTCTTTCGCAGTGACTGAGAAGCAGCTCGCTGACCGGATCAAGCAGCTGTTTGACGAGAAGAACAATGCTCTGTCCAGGATCTCGGAGCTGAAGCAGAAGGCAGGTTGCAGCCTGTGGCAGGTAGCTACCCCAGGTTGGGTTGAACCCATTGTGACCTTGAGATCTCATTCTGTCAATCCTTAGATCACTGAAAATGAGGAGAAACTGAAGGAATCTGAGAAAAGTGCATCCTCTTCACAGCGAGATAATACAGAACTTAAGGTAAGGCTGGGGGTTCACTCTGCATGCACCTGCATTTTAAGTACTACATGTAACTGTGCGCAAACAATTTCTGTCTCACTCATGAACACTGCATGTCAGTTCTTGTAGACCCATCATTGTATATAAATTTATTTACTGCACATCCTGCTTCAGTGCCAAACTGTACCAATTTCCCCACCAATCAAGGAGTTAAATGTGTTCTGTCTGTTGTGATGGCATGTCTTAAGTTTCAAAGTTTTATTTGTCACATATCCAATTATACTGAGTACAGTGTGCAGTGAAATGCACAGTTGCCTAGCCCCAGACTGGGATTAAAAGGGAACATAAAACAGAGACACGACATCATGTACTACAGACATTACACATTAAATATAATCAAAATATCTGTGGTGTACAAGTTTGGCAGTAAGTAACTGGAGGTAGTACAAGAGTTCAGAAACAAGTGTTTATATGAGTTAAGTAGACTGTAGTGTATGTTGGTGTTCAGATTCTACACACTGTCCTTATTAAGGATCTGTGGGAAAGAAGCTCTTTATGTCCTCATATCATGTCTATATTATTTTTTTATGTATAGTGTTTATATTCTGTTAATTTTTTATTGGCATTATGACCAATCAGGAGTGATATTTTAGCTCCGTGTATGACTGCACATATTGTATATTTGTTCTTGACTATAAAAGATACTTTGACGTGTGAAATAGCACAGCATAGTACTCTGGCAGACCTTAACACATAGCGTTGGGGACATGTGGCTTCAGAATTCTTTTAAAGAGCTGCAGAAGAGAAGCACACAGATGAGGGACAAAATGAGCACCTTGACAACCGCCGTGGAAGTGGAGAAGAAGCGGAATCAGGTGCAGGAAGAACAGGTGAGGTGATCCGGCCAGGTGGCCATTTTCTTGCTTTCGTTCAGGATGTCACACTCACGTATCTCGTCTTTTGGGTTTTCCCTCCATTGACAGATTGCCCAAGCTGAAAAAATGGTCAAGGACTTTAAACGCGTGGTAAAATCCAACAAGGAAGAACTAGCAAAGGTATGAGTTGTACATCAGTGAGATGCGGCTTTTCCCGTCGGTCTTTGGGCTAATGATCCTTCCATGAACTTTCTAACATTCGGATCCCATTGTACAGGTTCAGGTCCTTATGGATGAAGCTAAGATTAGAGAAGATGCCCTCAAAGCCCAAGTGATGGCCTTTGAGAAGGAGAACAATGCTCTAAAGGAGCAGAAGAAGTCTGTAAGTGGTGCCCGTCCCAGCTGCGAAACCCCATGTGTGAATGGCATGGATATCATGCCGTTTCCCTTGGTATTATGACTGTTCCTCATGGTTCATCTGTGATCTCTGCCATAGATACCCTTCTGGCTTTAGTCCTTGGTTAATGGTTGTGTTTTGCCTCCGGCACACAGCTGTTAAGTGACGCAAAGTCTTGGGAGGAGAGGCACCGAGATCTGGGGGAGAAAATGAAACTATTCCAGAAGTCCCAGAAGGAGTTGGAGAACAGCCTTGCACACAAGGAAAACGAGATTGAGGTGAGTCTTGTGGGTGTTTCACTGCTATGTCCCTCTAGATCACGTTCATTCACTGTTCCTGTAGCTGCACGCAGCCGTTGAATGACAGAACCACCCCCCCCCCCAGGTTCTGACTGACTGCATCGCCGAGCTTCGCCAGCTGGACATCGGCGAGGCCACGGAGCTGGAGAAAGGGGACACGCACGTCCTGGCCAATGGGGACTCATCCAGTAAGTCCGGGCAGCACGGTCGTGTTAAATAGAGGCCTTGTCAGAAATGTGGAGTGTTTTTTTTAAAAATTTTTTTAATGCATCTCTTGTTTCAGGCCCGAAGAGTGATGCCCTGAAAAGCCGGATTAAGCAGATGATGGACGTCTCGAGGGTAATCGTTTTTCATTATCCTAAGATGTCACATTTCCATGGAGTCACAGATAGGAGGTACTGAATAGTATGCTGAAAGCCAACTTAAAGATGGATCATCTTGAAGGAGGCAATCAGACACTGGATCAGTAAATAGGCCGGAAAATGTAATTTAAAGTAAAGTGGATATAATTTTCTTGTGAAACTGGAGTCAGATATGATATAGATTTTCATTGAGGCTGGTTTGGTGCAGGTGAAAACAGCCCTGTCCATTGTCGAAGAGGAGAAGAATACGTATCTGGACAAACTCCTGAATGCGGAGAAGCAGAGGCAGGAGCTGGAAGGTACTGCCTATTCCTCTTGCTCCGCCTCTTCTTGTCGAGTGGGCGTGGCCTTAGGTTTCCCTGTCAGTACGGTCAAATGACTTCTGACGACCTATTTTCTGAAGTGGGGGTATTCAACCATTCTTAAAACAGGGACCCCCAAATGAAAATAAACAAGAGCTATGAACCCCACCCACCATTAATGTGTGATCACATAAGAAACTAAAAACTTAGGGGGGCTTTAGTGCTAAATTTTTTTTGCCTGGGAAAGGGGGGGGCGGGTTCATGCTGGCTTTTCATCAGTTTTGTCGATTTCCAAGAGGTCTCAGTGGACCCAAGTTAAAACCTCCTTTCCAAATGGACAGTATTACCTTCTCACATCTTGGCCCTTGAGCTCCTAGCCTTAACCCCCGCAGTCTCTGATGGGCTGTGACTCGTCTGTCTCCCAGAGCAGACCAAGAAGCTGGAGCATGAGCAAGCCTCTCTAGCTGGCGAGAAGCAGCAGATGGAGGAGGAGCTGAGGACCCTCCAGCAGAAGCTGGAGATAATGAGCGAGCTGCACCAGCAGAAGGAAGAAGCCCTCCAGCAGTGAGTGGGCGGGGCTGGGCAGGGCTTTGGACCACACCCCCAAATATCATGTACTGGGATATTGGGCTAACAGTCATGTGCTCCATGGCAGGAAGCTGACTCAAGAAGAGTTCCAGCGGCGCGAGAAGGAGTCCATGCTGTCTCAGGTGGACGGCAGAGCCCTGCAGGCGGTGGAGGAGCTGAAGACATACAAGATGAGGGTTCAGGAGGTAGAGGAGGAGCTACAGAAAACGGAGCGCTCCTATAAAGCTCAGGTGGGCAGTCCCATCCGTGCCGCACTACCCTGTCAACGGCCACTAACCCCGCGGTGCCGCTAATGCCTCACGGTTGCTGTGTTCGCTCTTTGTCCAGATCTCTGCCCACGAGAAGAAGGCTCATGACAATTGGGTAAGGCGCCGTCACTCTCGTCACGAACGGGAAGCTCTGAGGAGGTGGTGTGCTCTGATTATCCGCTCTATGCTCCCCCGTAGCTAAATGCCCGTGCTTCCGAACGCTCCCTCGTGGAGGAGAAGAGGGAGACCGCCAACCTCCGTCAGAAGTGAGTGTGGAGCCTTCCGGCTCCTTTACTTGGGTCACATGGTTACCAGCAGGATGTTCATTGGTGGATGAGAGGTGGGGGTCTCTTCCAACTTGCCCCACAGTGACATCTACTGGGAGGGCTCAGGGTGCAAATAGCAGTATGGTGATATGGGTGGAGGCAAAAACAAGCCCTCTCCTCCCCAGATCTTGCAGTAATGGGAAGAATTGTGCTATAAGGGGTATTATCTGATCTATCGTGGGGGTAAAATTAGGCATAAAGAGAACCCCAGTGATGTGACCTATCCTCCAGGTTGGTGGAGGTGCACGACAAGCTTGCGGAGTTCCAGAGGCCTCTGATCAAAGCGCCGTCGGGCCGCTTGGACCAGCAGATGCCCCCCCTCCGCAGAGGTGAGCCACATCAGGTTCGGGGGTCGGTCTCCAGCGGGGGTCTTGAAACATGTCAGTAAACGGCTTGAATGATCCGAACAGGAGACTCTTATGGACCCTCCCCCGTGAGTGGAGGTGTGCCATCGCCCCCCTTAATGATTGAGGGCCCAGGGCGCCCCCCCTCAGCACCGGTGGGGCCACGAGGCGATCCCTTTGGTAAGTTCATGTCACCTAGACTTCTCTATTGTCCATCCAGCCACAAAGCCCCTTCATCTCTCCCAGCTTCTACCGTTCTCTCTTCTGTTGCAATGGATCTCTCCATCTTGACTCTTGTTCCTCTTTTTTTCTGGTATTTCTTCCCTTCGTTTGACCTCCTGTACCTTCACGGCTGTTTTTCCCATGTCATTTATCCCGTTGCCTTGTCATTCTCCTGCTTGCTGCTTGTCGCTCTAGATAGGTGGTTTCCTCTTATGGTGATGCTCACCTGTAGGACACATCAGCTTGGGTCTGGATTCTCCTCAGAAGAAACCCCCCCTCTAGAAGCTGGGGGTGTGTGCTGACGTCACTGTGGTTCTGTGTTACAGGTCCCCGACCAGACTCACACGGACGGTACCCAGACCTTGGGCACCCAATGCCTGCTCGACCTGGTACTCCTCTACACCTCCTTTACACCTTGCTTACAGTGTAGCCCTTACACTCTGGTCAGAATTTCTAAGTACTTTGATCTCTCATGTCCTGCAGCCCCTCGGACGTCCTCCCCCAGCATGGACGGATCGGTGAGTATCCCATCCTGCTTCTGAAGTGGCCATATTTAGGGACATTTAGGGAAACCCTAGAGCTACACCCTGGCCCTGTTATTCACGCACGTGCAGGATGTGGGCTTCCTCGCCTCGATATGCTGTGTCTGTTAGTCGAGCTCAGCAGTCGGGGGAATAAGCAGAGATGGTGACAAATGAAACTGGTGACAGGGCAGGCAGTGACAGATGGGGGAAGGTGAAAACGATATTTATTTAAAGGACACTTCATGGTATCATAAATATTTTGGGATTCCTGTTTAGAGACAAACCGGTTTGGTGTCTGTAGGTGTGGGGGAATCCCCAGGCTGTCATATTACCTTAGCTTAGGATTCCCAGCCCTGAGAGCTGAGGTTGCGAGGTCTCCGTCTGGCCTCGTGATGGTGAGGAACCCTCACCCTTTTCTCTCCATTGGCCCCGTTCAGTCAGAGGCTCCCTCCTCTACCCAGGCATCAGCTGATACAACAGAGGCAGTGAGTATTGGGATCAGGACTGGTGGCGGGTGTTCGGAAGCAGTCCGCTGGGTCTTAATGGGTTTGAGTTTCATGGCTGGACAGAGTGACAGTCTGACACCTCCATTTCACTAGAGCACTAACCAGCATGGACTTCATGCTTGATTTAAGGTTATCTCGTTGGCTTAACCGCACCACCGTGTGTGACTAGTTCCTCTGCCGGGCTGATCTGGTGTGTTGGCATCCGTCTCTTACAGCACGATTTGGCGGTGATATATGCTCTTTGGGTTTATCCATCTGAAACTGAGCCTTGTGTCTTCCTGAACACGCTGTGGGGTGTTCATTGGTGCTGGCATCTCTGGCTGATGGGCAGATTACCCCTCCCCCAATCGACACACCGGTGTCTCTCTTGCTTGCCAGGTGGGCTCCAGATCACAGGGCCACCCTTCCTTCATGGAGTCCCCCATTCGGGACTCTCCGGTTCCTGGGCCTCATCCCAAAGGGCACGGACCCCCAAATGGGCCGCTGCCCCCCATGCTGAGGCCCCCCAATGGACATCTGCCTATGATTCCACCCGGACCACCTCTGCCTCCCATGGGCCCTGGACCCTATGGCCTTCCCGGTCCCCCCCGTCACTATGGCCCATTGCCACCGTTTGGTAAGATTTACTGGTCATTCTCTTCCGAGTACTTCATTTATTAATATCCTGTATAGGTCAGTTGGACATGTTACTACATGACTCTGGCCTTTCCACAGTACGAGGACCGCCTCCCCCCATGAGGGATTTCCCCATGGGACCCCCTCCGTTCGGCCCCCGGGACGTCTATCCTGAGATGTGGCGTCCTATGGCCGGACCGCGGGACTACCCGCCTCCACATCGCCCCCTGCTACCTGGGCCCGTTCCACCCCCCAGCCTGCCTCCGCAGCAAGTGACCACGGGCCCCAGGGACTTTCCAGAAGGGCCCCACCCTGGCCCCAGCATCAGCAAGGACTATCCTGCACAGCAAGAAGGGCACAGGGACCGGTCGGTCACGCCACAGAGCGGACCCTGAACCCTCCTTTTAATTCATATAGAGGACGTTACATTAACCACATCATTAAATCATTAGAAAGCACGTGTCCTGTCTCAGATCTAACATTTCTGTCTTGAGTAATCAAGGCTTAGCAGGTGGGCGGGTGAAGTCTTGTACAACATTACTTCCTTCTGAATGCGTGTTTTTTAAAGGATAGCTGTCTGGTCGTGTGTTCAGTTGATTTTTCTCTGAGGATTTCCTGTGGAAATACTTGATTTTAAAAATGTTTGGGTAGAGAGCGAGGCCTCCATCACTCGCCCATAATGGCTGCTTTGTAATTGTCAAGGTAAGTTGTATAAAGTCAGATTTATAACTTATGATCTTAGGGATTTTATTAATAAAAGATTGTTAAAGGAATGTTATTTTTACTATGACCTTGGAAGGTGTGGAAGCTGAGGTTTGTGATCATGAGTTTGAATGATGGATTGTTCTTTGTGGGGGGGGGGGGGGGGGGGGGGGGTGGGGGGGGGGGGGAGTGTCGGAGTTAGACATCCAAATTGTCATGAAATAAAGATACAGATTTCATAGAATAAATGTCATTTGTATATCAGATGCTGTGTTGGAACGCAAAGACTTGTAATTTTCTCTGCTGTAGGCAGTGAATGAGTCTAAAAATCTATTTTTGGACAGACCCAGTTTTATTTTCTTAAATGTCACTAATTTCAGTAAAATAATAGCCTGAAGATGTATCCATTTCAGCAATGTTTCCAGGGCATTGACAAACTATCAATGATCCCATGAAGTGTGGGTGGTGTGTAGCTCAGCGGCTTCTCTGCCTGTATCCTTTGTGGATTTGAATACCATGACCCCTAGCTGTCCTCACTCAGGCAAAAGTTATTTAAATGTAGTTGTGAAGTTGTTTATACAAATAGATTGATTCAACCCGGCTTTTGGCTCAAAATGAGAACTAGATTTTTGTATATACAACCGGGAATATTAAAAGAAGTTTAAAGAACCACAAACAATTACTGTATGGTACATGAAATGCTAAGATGTATCCCTGAATAACGTTGCCAAAGTGACTGGACTTGCGGGGGGAATTGAGAAAACTGAAGTACCGCAAGCAGCTTACCAGGGTACACAGTGGGCTATGGGGAGTGTTCCTTGGGTTCGACTAGGAACGTCTCCAGCGTTAAGTAGTAGTGAGGTTTGCTGTCGACATTGTCCGGATGAGGCACTTCTCAAGCAGCACTTCTCTTTATTAGAACTTGAAGCAACGTGAATATGCGGTTTATCGTAAACGCACATTGCGGTGTCGACAAGCATGGAGACGTCACGCGGCGCACCTGCGTGCTTTAAGAGATCTTCAGTACATCCTGCGCTAGTCTTCATTTCCTGACGTTAAAAAAATTAAAACCATCTAAAACGTTAGAAAACAAAAGGCATAATTGATGGGGGGGGGGGGCAAAAAGAATAGGGGGGAATAAACCATAAGGATCACGCAGCATCGTGGTAAGAAGCCCTTTCACCAGGATGATCAGACGGCCGGCCGGTGGGGAAGGGGCCGCCCTCCACCACGCCAGGGCCTGGTCGGTGATGTCCAGTCAGCAAAACCCGAGCAATCGCAGTGCAATCGCAGTGTGCCCCTCGATCATCCAGTGTGAGAGATAAACCCTGTTAGTCAGCTGTTTAGTGAACTGCCCCTTCGGTTCCTTGGGGGGACAGTCAGGAAGGGAGAAAATCCACAGCGCCGTACCACTGGTATGGTGACGGGGGGTGAGTCTCATAGCCGGAATGTTCCGTCCGCTGGCGGCCAGGCAGACGTCACTTGTTAAATAAAAATAAAAAAAAAAACAGTATGGAGAAGTGAGTAATGTACCCTGCATCAGTAGGACTGCCAGCCTATTGCCATCAGGTAGGTATCACACGGCCAGGAAGTCACCAAGTCACATGGTTTTGACGGGACAGAGTAAAGAGGGGTGAAGCCTGGCCGGCCTGTGAGTTTTGCCGAGTTTGTGGAGGTCTGCCCGCCCGTCGGACCAGAGTCCGCCTGAAGCGGCCCCGATGGGTCATCCTGCACTCCTAGGAGCTGCTCAGTCTTTGTGCAGAGTCTGCTGCAGGTGGAGATACAGCGGCTTCTTTGTCAGAAGGTGGAGCTTCTTCCTCTTGAAGTCAGTCGGCTTCTTGTACCTGGCGGTTAACGTCAGGAGGTCAGTATGATGTCATTGTACATAGACACGCAGAATGTAAACAGATTAATTTCATTCATATCATCTGACCAAAAAGTCAACATGGAAGGAAAACATGGGCCCACACACTCTGAAAAATATTGAACCTGAAATTACAGAATGTGAAAAAAGCATTCTGGTGAAGAAAATGATTTTAACCTGATAGGAGGGTGCCCAGTTCAACCAACATTGAACACAAAGGTGAGTGTCATGTTCTTATAGATGTCAAAGATGTACTTACAGTTCAATTACAATTGGACCGGGTTTGATTTCATCCATTTCCATGAAAGCAAAACATTTTGTGCTGGTAAATTTTTTCTTGGGTTTGTAGTGCTTAAATTCAAAGAAAATAGCTGCCCCTGGAAAAAATGATGAAGGGTTAAAGTATGTATTATACTGAAAATCCCATTACAGATATGAACTCTACAGATCGTCAGCTCAGAGATAACCTTTCAGATAGACCACATTCATTCAAAAGGATTTCAGTGAAACACAATAACTTAAGCATCGAGCAGGGCCTTCTTTTGTAGTAAGTAAGCATTTCATGGCAGTTACAGTGTTCACACTGGTTTTTAATTCAAGTAAAAGTGCCCTTTTACAAATGGGCACAATTTGGGTTTAGCAGCACGGACAAGATGGAAATCAGTGAGCACCTTTGGATAGCTCCTCCAGGTGCTTCTGGATCTCCACGTCCATGCTGAAGTGTATGTAGGTATCTTCCTTTCGGGTGGCAACTGGGGTGTCCTGCACTGGATTTAAATCCACGCCATTCAGGTCTACAGAGAATCAAAATCCAGAATCAGGGAGAACCACAGAATGACACGTTCATGGCAACAACACATACCGAACATCAAACGTGTGTGATTACTTAATCCAGTCCTTTCACAGCGTGATAGTACCTTTGACACTAACTGTAATGTAGGGATCGATGCACTGTCCGGCATCTTTCAGGCCAATCTTCTCAATCTTAATCGTGAGCAGCGTCATTCCCGGTTCTGATGGTAACCGTGGCAGCAGAGTCCCTGATGATGACATTATCTCATGAATAATTGAATTACATCAAACCCAAGTAACAGCCACTATTTAACTGATAATTAAAGAAACAGCCATTCTTACATTTATCTGACTGACCCTTAAGCTCTAAAATAAAATCAGTGATTGATGAAGTTCACCACCCCAAAGAATCTGCCATAATTACTATAAAATCTACTTTCTATTCTAGTACATTTGAAAAAAAGATCAGCACAGCCACTCCCCACTAAATAGGGGGAGGGGCCATTTCTATTGAGATCTGCAGGCTTCCAGGTTGCTGTTAGTGACAGATCTCCATCTTGGGCACCAAATGAGCTGATATTCGAATGTCAGATCCACCAGAGTAATTCAGAGCTGGCCAGCAGCGCCCCCAGCTGGACACCCACTGCTGTGCCAAGTGACTATTCATGGCCTGATCTGTATGCCATCGGTGGAGACAGGGAAACAATGGTGTGAAGGTAAAGTCATCGCTGCAGATGGCCACAGACACACGGCCATACCTTGCACGGCTGCGGATGGGATGGGCGGTGCGGATGGAGATTTTGTACACAGCAACGAAACAACCCAGAGGGAGGGAGCAGGGGAGAGAGAGAGAGAGAGACGGTGAGGCACTGGTCTGGACCATGGGGTCACAAACACACACACAGAAAAGGCCACTGTCAGCCAGCGCTGTTTACTGCGTCCAGCTCAGCTCGCAGTGACAAAAGACGGCATTCAGAGGCACACCGGGCTGTGACCAAACCTAACAGCGGCTAAAGGCAGCTCCATACCTGGCACTCCGGAGGGAAAAGACTCAGGGGATCCCACCCCGGCGGTCACACCTTCCTCCTCCTCATCCTCCAGCTCCAAGTTCTCCTCCTCACCAGGGGCGAGGATTTTCCTTCAGTCAGGGAGATGGCGTCATTTTCAACCAACCATTCAGCTGACTTCTCAGTCTGTAGTCCCAAAGTCTGTTCAGCAGGTCATGGAACTGCCCGATAATCTCAGTATCACATTGCATTTTGACACCAGAGATTTGAGCCTACAACACTCTGGTAATAAACCTAGTATTCTGGGTTGTGATAACCATAACTTCTCATCTGTTTTTGTTTATGTTCAGTTTTCAGTATCCTCTATCCTCTGGTCCCTATCATTTGAATCGTTTACAGGTCTATGATTGTTTTTTGTTATTACCCTGGTCGTAACTTAATTTGAGATTTTCACATGAAAATAAATGATGAACATTTTTACCTTAAAGGCACCGGTTGTACATCGAATGGAAAACCTTTGTTATATGTGAGGATATTCTTAATAACTGTTTAGAGGGGAGAAAAACAATTTGTCAATACTCCTGTACCCTTTGGAAATCTTGTCTGTCACTCTATCACTTTTTCAAACTACATAACCCATCAGCGTAGGGCAGCTGGGCACTGAAGTATAGCATTAGCTTGATGCTAATGGCCTATTTGACATCTTTAAGACCCACCCACTAAAGTTGTCCTCTACACCAAAGTAATACTCCATAACAACAATTCCCAGGTGACAACTTCTCAAGATCAGCCTACACGTAATGGGTGGGGGGTATTCTGTTTCAAATTAAATATGCCATGTACATTTTTATCTGAAAAATTCATGCTAATTCAGTGCTAAACGCCCCCATTTCTTCACACATGACTCATCGTCCATCCGCAGCGTTTTTACCAGGATACCTACTAGGTTCCAGTTTTTTCAGGTCTTCCAGCTTGAAATCCTCACTGGATTGTGTGCACTAATAATGCAAAAAAACAAAAAAAGTTTCAGAGAAATCCAGACACACGCCCCCTGCTGGATAATTTGGTAGTTCGTTTTATGATCAGCTGTACCTGCAAAGAAGCGCTTCTCATTTCCAGGCATGTGGCACATTTCCCCAGCGTTTTCTGCAATGGAAACACACACATGAACACACACAAACAGACAATGGCGTTCACCAGGACGTCTAAAATAACCACAAATGAGCCCAGCCTTGTGTTTTCTGTCTTATTGGTTCTTCACTTATGTCTCAAGAAGCCTGTAAAACTAAAAGTGAGAAGACAAAAATGGCTGCAACTGTAGCAATCAAATAAGGGACACTTTTACAGTGTAGGGTAGAGTGAATTTAATGTTTCTTAAAGGTTGCTAGGGCAACCGCAAACTGGTCCATACATCCTGGCTCTGAAGAACCCCGCGTGAACTGAAACTGTCGGTTTGTTATGGATCTGACAGCATGACCTTTAAAACTGCATCAATCCGTGACACCTTTGAAGTAGCATCAACAAAGGACAGTCAGTCTTCATTTTTTTGCCCTGGCATTTATAAATTTCAAACATGAAACCTTTGCACTATAAATTTCCACCAAGGAACCATTTCTCTTTGATGCATGCGGTGCCTGATTAGTGAGAAACACAATATTTTCAACAACTAATCTTTGCTGCCTTTTGGAGGAATATTCTTCCCTTGAATTTTTATGAATGTACATTTATCTAATGAGGTTATACTTTTTTTTTTACAGGCATCTATATTCTAGAGTTCAGTTGTTCCATTTGGTCATTGCCTCAGACTTACCTAGATAGATACAAATTTATCTGTCAGTGTTCTCGTTAAAAACACCAACACCTGCCTGTAAGTCCAGTTGGGTTAAATGTAGGTTTGTGAAGCTCTGGATTTGATAGTTTACCAGCTCGTATTTCAGCCATAAAATGCACGGATACTTTTCTCGGTCGGGTTTCTGAACTCTTTCGTGGTGGAAGAGATGACTGGCCAGTCTCCTTTCAGTCATCCTTTAGCAGAGATTTGCACCTGTTCTCTAGACTAACTACTCTTATTTCAGGTCATTGACAGAGTTGCCAAATGTGGTTAGCTGGCTGGCATGAGATTTTCAATTCGAGATAAGCCTGCACACACATTTCCATGTTTCCAACAGTTTTATTACCCTGTAAATAGTCAGTATGGTTTGAAAACTACCCTAACTTTTGATTAAATTAATTTTAGGTTTATAATGGAATGATATAGATTTACCGTAAGAGAAGTTCTTGCCTGAGCGTGAGGCAGAAAGCGTGAGTGTCACGCCAGCTGTATGAGAGTTCGCAACCCTGCACTGAGATGATCGAGAAAGGCACCCCAATCATTAACGTACCTTTATTATAATGAAAACATACCTTTTGATCTTCTGTAAAATCTGAAGAATTGGCCGACTGCACTTCTTTTTGCAACTGCCTCGCAAGTCTGCGTTCAATATCGCAAAGAAAGATGAATTAATTGAATTACTCTTTCGGACAAGCCTCAGTTGTATATTATACCATGCAAATCCTTTAATACGTCGAATCGGGAGCTCTGTGATCGGTTTGTCATTTCGCATGCACCGTTTTATTATTGACAACAAGGTTAATTCTTGCTGAAGGATAACGAAAGGATCGATGCCGTATCTCCGCATGCAGAATGAATGGTCAATATTAAGCTGCTGGTTATATATATATATATATATAAAAAAAAAAAGGTCTAAATGCTTAATGCTGAGTGGGAAGTGCAACGAGAAGGAAAAACAATGGGATTAAAGCAGCGCTGCAGTCCCGGACTAAAGCAAAGGGGATCCAAGCGCAATGGAGCCGGGGAGCGGGCGGGGTGACACGCCAGCCCCGGCTGAGGGCCACCCGGAGCATTAGGGTGTGGCAGGCCGTGCAAAAGGGTGGATTTTAAACGTGGCCCGGCATATATCCCCAAAAATACACAAAACAAACTTCTGTCCCGCAATGTGCGCCCGCCTGCCAGCCGGCAACAAATTAACCACCCAGTTCTCAAGTTTAAGTTATTTTTCCTAAAAGGAAGCGATTACACAAGTGATGATCCTCGATATCAACTCTAAGATGTGCATGTTAGACCAATTCACACGACATTCGCGTTTCCAACTCAATAAACCTTAATTATATGATACAAATTCAGTAAAATGCAGTTAAGATAGGAGATTGGGAGCCTATCAGGCAGAGATTGTCAGCCTTTCTTCCCCTCCCCATTTTCATTCCCCAGCAGACTGACTAACACACATTGAAATACTCGCACTTACATTTGGTACTCATCAATCGCTTCCACTAACTGTCCCCATGAATCAAAGTCCGTGCCTTTTTTAAAACTCGCATGCCATTTTTGGATGGTCTTGGTCACATCTGACATTTTCAAAAAAAAAAAAAATTCCAAAAAAAAAAAAAAATCTAGCGTCACAGTGTGAGCTTCAGGTTAACATCGCCGGGGAGCTTTTCGCGCGTCCTCTCCGTTTGATCGCGTCCCAGCGTACAGGGTCCGACACTGCCCGGTCCTACCCTCCACACCGACCAAGCCCTTCTGTCCTCTCACCTAAACTTCTCTCCGGCGGAAAACAGGGGGAAGTTCCGCCTCCCGGTTTGCCTTCAACATTCACGTTTAAGGGGGAGTCAGGAAAACACAGGCATCGGGAATCCTGATATGGGCGTTGCGCTGAAAAATGAAGACGCTAGCGTCTGCGATCAGTGTTATTAGGGGAAGAAAATCCGCTTTACGTTATCCCAGTATAATAATAATAATAGGCCTGAATACTACTCCGCACTTTCGTTAGTTCGTTTTCTCATCGAGATTTTAAAATATAAATATATATTTTAAATTTAAATATATGAAATGCAAACAGCGGGGTTCACAGAAGTTATTCCAGATTGTGTGGCTGCACGGTATGAATTATTGTTTTTACATTATCGTTAACTGGAAGTGCACCAAAACATTTCACGGACTACTCGCGCCAGCTCTTTTGGGACCGAAATCAGAAACACACACCAGGCCGCAATCCAAAATGACAAATTAAACGCGGTAAAGCAAAAAGAGGTATATAGTCTATATTCTTATTGGGCTCAAACTATTAGGATTAATCCCAGAATATGCCAGTCATCGCCATCATCATTATCTTCTTCTGGCTTGTCCAGACTACTCTTTCATAGGACAAAGAATATATATTGTTTTGGGGATCCTTAGATGTTCTCAGTCCATTTGGGAGATTTAATCCCTCAAGCATGTTCTCGGTCTTCCCCAGGACCTCCCCCCAGGCCCAGTACAACATCTCCCTTAGGATCCGTCCTGGTGGCTTCCTTATGAGAACCACCTAACCTGGTTCCTTTTGATCTGAAGGAACAACGGCTCTATTTGGAAGTCATTCTGCTTTCTTGAACTCCTCACTTTGTCACAGAGAGCAATGACAAATTTCTTAAATCCCTTCACTAAGGGCAAACTCTTAAACCCATCCCTTGAGAGAGGGCCAGTACACTCTTCTTCAAAAGAGCACCATAGGCTCAGATTTGAAAGTGCTGATTCTCATGCCAGCTGCTTCACCCTTGACATATGTCTGCTTAAGCCAGTGCTGAGGATCCAGGCCAGATGGAGCCAAAGGCACAACATCATCTGCAACCAGCAAGGATATCACTTACAACCCCCATATTGATATCCATCCATCCATATTCTATAACTGCTTGTCCTATCCCGGGTTGTAGGTGGGGTCCAGAGCTTATCACAGAGGCAATGAGCACAAGGCAGGCAACAACTCAAGATGGGGCACCAACCAATCACAGGGCACACTCAAACACCATTCATTCACACATGCATCCCTACAGGTAATTTGGCAACACCAAGTAACCTCAGCATGTTATTGGAATATGAGGGGAAACCGGAGTACCTGGAGGAAACCCCACTACAACACGGAGAGAACATGCAAACTCCACACAGATGTAACCCTGGAAGAGGCCTTGATATATAAATCAAAGACAAATGACAGAAGATATGATACACCCCTGTCAACACACTTCGACCCGGGGCCAATTTTGTGGACACAATTGTATATTTTTAATGAACATACATAATAGACAAAAAAATCACCTTCGGAAGAATACTCCTAATATTTAAAGCTGTTTGCCCGGTTTTGCCATGAAGGCACCGGTATTGTTCAAATACCCTACTATTACGGAACCGCACCTTTCTATGTTTTCGGAGTCACATCATGTTAGTGTGAGACTTCCGGGCGCGTCCCGTTTCCGTACGAAACGTCAGGAGTTGTGTCCTGCCCCTGTGCATTAAACGCGCCAATAGAAAGGCAAATTCGTTACGTCATCTAGAATAACCCAATCACTATGCGATGATGTGAAACGCACCGTGACATCACCGCGTCGAAATGCCGGAAGCGTTTTCTCATTGTTATTATTTCCTGTGCTGAGCTGAGCGGCTGTACAGGTACGACAGTTTAATGCGTGTGTGGCAGTTACATTTTATTTTTACGTGATTACGCGAGTATAGGTGTGGATATTGTTACCTTGTTGTTGATAAATTTGTTCTGCGCTCGTACTGTTACATGTGATGCATTCCAATATCTATGTTAACGGTAACCCAGTTATTGAGGGACAGTCGTTTATTTACTTTATTACTATTGTGTTTTACTTCACTTACTTGATTTACTTAAAATTATATTTAGTTGCTTTGATAACTGATGAGAAATCTGTTACCAGTATTTGAAATTTTCTCTTGCTGTTCGTCACTAAAGCTACACTGTTAATGTCAGCCTCTAGGCCGGGATGTGCTGATTTGGGCAGGTCCTTCGGGAGCTGACTGTACATGGCTGTCGCCCTAATCTGACCAGCACATAAAAATCTTATTCTTTATTTAACCCTGTCTGCTTAAGCTGTGGTTTTCGGTTGCATACAAACACAGTCGTAATATTTTTATAGTTAACATTTGGTATATTTAGAAGTTTACTATATTTCAAGAGATTATTGAGGATAAGGTTGTGTTAATATAAATGTTTCTGGGTGATCATAAATGAACAGTGCACATGCTGTCAGTCCCCAGGCGGTTTTCAGCATGGCGCACTGGTTTCATCGAAATCCCCTAAAAGCCACCGCTCCCGTCTCCTTCAACTTTTACGGAGTCGCTGCGAGTCCTGCAGCCAACAAGATATGCAAGTAGGTGCCAATTTCTACATCAGTCTTTACGAACAAATGCAACAGTTTGGGCTCTTGTAAAGAAACAGTAACTGATATTATGTAGGATTGGTTGTAAATATAGAGTAATATACTGTAAGCGGATATGCCTGTGTTTTTTGCCCAGTGATCTGAGGGCCACCAGGGCCCGGCTTCTGGAGTTGTTCACCGATGTCACGTGTAATCCCGAAATGATGAAAAAGGCCACGGATACTTACTTCTCCCTTTTGCAAGGTCAGCCGTCATTAAATGTTAACTGGAGACACAGTTAGGGGCGCAAGGATTTTGGATTAAGAAGATAAATCTCACATCGTTTAATGAAATGTAGATGTTTCATGTTCATGTTCATAGTGAATGTGTTGGAGGGATTTTTTTATATATATGTTGCTCTGTGTGATACTGAATTGTTTTCCATGTGGTCTGTCATATTAAATTAAATGTAGGATTCATTGTTTCGTTGGATGGGACTACACAAGAAAATAAAATGCGATTCATTCAGAACTTCAAATGGACAGACACTTTACTTGGGAACGTGGCAAGGTAATTCATAATGAAGTTATGTTACCCAGAGCTCTCAGCATAACACGCATAGAAGGGAGCAGTCTGGTCCTTGTTCAGCGGCAGCCTTGTTTACCACCACTCAAACCATGCATTTATGAGGTTATTATGAGGTTTTCTAGCCCCCAGCTGCCCACAAAATCAATGTTAAATAAATGCATTCCTTATTTGGGAGATACTGAGGCAGCATGTTCCGCTAACCGGCTAGCTAGCTGTCATCTTCTGACTCTAATTGCTAGCTCTTTATTTTGATTTGGAAGCATTTGAGTAGGAACCCAGAAACAACAAGCCTTCCCTTGCTTTTCAGGAATCTTTCTTTCCATGGTCCTGATTCTAGTCAGACCAGATAGTGTTGTGAGCCACAGAAGTCAATCATATGTGTTGATGAAAGCAGCACTTTCTAATAAGGATTTGTGAATTTAACATCTTAATCCTCCCATGGCAGATTAAAAGTGCTTCTCATTTTAACCAAGAAGGCCCCCTGACTGAATAAGCAGTTATTTGGAGGAATGCTGCCCTGTCTCCCCCAATTGCCCCTCTTATTCCACTCTGTGTTCCCCTGTCAGTGCCCAGCAAGATGCTGTGTTTGAACTGGCTGCAATGGCCTTTAATGTTGCAGTGTGGTACACTAAATTTGCATCAAGGCTTGCTGGAAAAGAGAAGTAAGTGCTGCCTTTCCCTACAGTCTATTTAAGCTTGAAAATGTTTTCATAAAAATCTTCTATAATTGACACCTCAGTCTTGATTTTTTTTTTCTGTCAGTGGTGACTTAAATCATCTGTTTGCTGAAATTTATGCGCACCATTATTTGTTTATTATTAAAAAATATCAGTGTGTCTAGTATAGAAATTGTATTTTTGATTAGCACACTAATCAAATGAACCAATTTTCAATGTACGTTTTGTGATTCTCCCGAGACACTGGCACTGCATATGCGAAGCCACAGAAAGCTAAAATAACTTAAAAATATAACCCTTGTGCTGGCTTTAGACCGACTGGAGCTTTAATTGTGCTCTTGTAGCTTGTCTTGGTATGATTTCCCCTTGATTCTGACTCGGGCCTTTGTAATGAATACTTTCATTTGTAGCATAACAGAGGATGAAGCTAAGGAAGTTCACAAGAGCCTGAAAATTGCAGCTGGAATCTTCAAGTACCTTAAGGTGACAGAAATTAGCTTTTTAAGCTAGTTTATAATCCTTCAAATGTGAACATTTTTAAAAACCTTTCTATAGTTTCGCATTTCTTAAATATAACTTTTTATTTAATTTACATCTTAATTCCATTTAACAATTGTCTGACTGTTACCACCATACTAATCTGATACTTAAGTATCAGCATTTCATGTGAGATGTGATTGTTGTATTTATACCTGAACCTACCACTAGGAGGCCCAGGTTCCTCGCTTTATCACCCCAGTTGAAAAGGGCCGAGATCTAGAAGCTAGAGTGATGGACACCTACACAATTCAGTCTCAGGCAGAGGCTCAGGAAGGTGGGCTGTGATTGATGATGAGTTTTAAAGAAAGTTTAGTGGATATTTTCTCTGTCTTTTTATGGTTCCCTATGTGAGATCAGGTATAGGTGTGATAAACCTTAGCTACAATATTGATTGTAATGTAATGCACTGTTTTTTTTTTTTGTGGTAGTGACAATTGCGAGAGCTATTGAACTGAAGCATAATGCGTCCTTGATAGCGGCTCTGGCCTTTGAGACTGCAAACTTCTACCAAAGAGCTGGTGAGTGTGCGTGTCGTAGGGGTGCTTAGGAGCCAGGGCAAGCCTGCTTACTGTCAAATGACTGAAGGTTGTCTGTTTATGCAGACCACACCCTGAACAGTCTGGACCCAGACTATAGCAGCAAATGGAGGAAGTACCTCCAGCTGAAGCAGATGTTCTACATTGCCTATGTAAGGTCCTACTGGCCTCCGGTCCATGTTGGCTTGTGCGTATTCGGTTTAGTACCGCTTTCAGAACCGTACGCTGTCTGGGTTTCTTACAGGCTTACTGCTACCACGGACAGACCCTGCTAGCCAGCGATAAGTGCGGAGAGGCCATCCGATCTCTGCAGGAGGCAGAGAAGTGTGAGTATGACCTTATGGGACCAGGGGGCAGTAGTGACACGTTATCAAATCCTGGCATTCTCCTCACACGTTGTCGAACTGTTACCCGGGGTGCTTTTCTACCCCTAACACAGGCTACTCCAGAGCCGAGGTTCTGTGCAAAGAGTACCGTCAGACCAAGGGTCCAGGCAGCACTGCCAAGCCATCCGAACAGCTTTTCTTTCTGAAGCTGGGCAGCCTGATCAAGAACACCCTGGAGAAGTGCCAGAGGGAGAATGGATTTATGTGAGTATTTAGGGCAGGGGTGGCCAATCTTATCCGCAAAGGGCCGGTGTGTATGCAGGTTTTTGGGATAACCTGTAGGTCAGCTGTTCAAACCCATGTGTGAGGACTCTTCAGCCAATCAGTCCTCTAATTAGTAATCTAATTAGGGAGTTGCAGCGAAAACCCGCATACACACAGGCCCTTTGCGGATAAGATTGGCCACCCCTGATTTAGGTCATCGTAAAGAGGCGAAGGGAAGGATACAGGAGACGCGCTTGTGTTGTGCTGCCCCTAGTGGTAATCAGTGTCTGAGCGGCTAAAGCATGTCTGCTACCTTTCATTCAGGTGTAGGTATTTATCATTTTGAAAGCTTATTTTTAACTGAAGATTAATTGTTTGATTTTTTTTTTTTTTTTACTCAGATATTTCCATAAGATTCCACCAGAGGCTCCTCAGCTGGAGCTGAAGGCCAGCTACGGACTAGCAGAGCCTGTTCCCTTTGAGCTCCCTGCTCTGAGTGAGCAGTGCACCCCAGAGGTGTATGCGACCTTTGACCTCACCAAGGGTGCCAAAGACGACAAGGTAATCCAAGAGCCAGTATGCATTCCTCTGAGCACTTTTTGTGCTTTATTTGTGCGTCTAGTGCTTTGATCTGACAACCACCGTATAACATGCCCGTTCCAGGCTAAACCAAAGCAAGAAGAGGAAGTGAAACCAGTAAAGGAACCAGACCTGAAGCCTCAGAAGGACACGGGCTGCACCCTCTCCTAAATGGAGGGAGGGACACACTGCCCCTGTGTAAATAGTAAAGCTACTTTTCCAGGCAAAGTACAGCCATGTGTTTGACCTTTTTGATTTCAGTTTCCTGTAGGTACAGGTGAGATGACAGACCATAACGCTTTTGAAGCAGGTGGTTCACGATAAATGGCTGTGCTACAGTGCAGAAGAGTAACTATATAATGGGCACAGAATGCGAAGAGCAAGGAAACACCTGAATGAATGATCTGGCAGGTGATGGGCTTAACAGACATGGTAGAGCTCTGGCAAGCATAAGGGAGGGTAATGGGGCAGGGCGTGTCTGGTAGTCACATGGTCTTAAATTCACAATCCACAGACAAATCATTGCCAACCTACCTTGACCTGGATACCAATTTTATGCCTTACTTCATAGGCAGTTCACATTTGAACTTTTCTGAACTAACATCCACACTTTTACTTGCCCTAGTTTATATTCACACTCTGTTTTTAATTAGCATAGATGCGCCATAGATTAGCATTTGACTTTTTTGAGTTTGAGCTATCATACATGGGCCTAATTTCATACATATATTTTTCATTTCAGTGTCTGAACAGGTAATTTGTAACTGTGATCTACAAGGCGGTATTCTGCGCTGTTCTAGAGTCTCAGTCTGTTTTGCTTGTCAGTTTCCATTTGTTCATGTTCTTTTACAATTGACAGCTTTTATCTGACAGCTGATTGGTGATTAATGGGTTATGATTGGCCCCTGCATGGTGTCAGAAGTCAATGAACACTGCCTCTAAACACACATACACACAAAGTCATGTGACATGCCTCTGAACTTCTTATAATCCATTTTCTGTTAAGTGGTGATGTCCCGTAAATTTGTGCATCTCATCTCGCAGATGTCAAACCAGAAGCTAAAGGTACAGCAGGTACCACTTTATTTTACGAGCATTTGACTGTATTGTACTCTACATCTTGGGTAACTCGGATATTGAAATGTCCCGTCCTTGCAGAAGTATCCGAGGATTATGGGATGTAACCGCATGTGAAACTTGCCAGGTTCTCCTTGCTTTTTCATTTATAGATGCACTTTCATGTCCCTCTCCAAATCAGTCTTAAAAATCTGATGATGGAGGACTGCTAATCGGCTGATCGTTCAGGAAACGCAAAGGGCGTCACTTTAAAATTCCACTGTAACTAGGCCCTGATTGGCCGCTCTCTCTCTTTCTGTTTGTTCCTCTGTCTATGTATGGATATATATGATGCTGAGTCTGTATTGTAGTGCTGGAAATTTGGATGAAAAAGATAAACTCTATTCATTGTCTGGATTATTGCTATATATCTACTGTATTTTAAGTGGTTAATAAAATGACTGCAGTCTGTTACTGTCATGAGTTCTTTTGAGACCAAAGAGCCTGTCATGAAGGATCAGGTGTTAGAGTAAAAGAGATGATCGTTTAACAAAGAACAAGCGTCAGTCTCACCAAGTATGTGGTCTGTAGATTTAATCATTAGCTGATATTTAAAAACAGGCTGGGTGTGTATGTTGATGTTTGGACACGCCTCCAGCGTACATGAGTGTCAGGTTTCCTAGGGCGTGTCAGGGACCTAAGGATCCGGGTTATGTGTTTGTGTCACAGCTTTCAGTTTGGTTGTTTCGGGCAGAGGGAGCAGAAATATTCAGGTATGGAAAAGTGAGCCACAGTTAAATGGGAAAGATGAATGAAGAACTTCAAAGTGTAAGTGCAGCTTGTGACTATAATTATAAAATAAAAAACTTGAGGTTATTTGTATATTGATATCATGGAAGTACGTTTTAAGTACTTCTGATTTTAGCATTAAGAAAAGTTGAACTGAATCTAACATTCAGTTTTATTAATGTGTAATATTTGCCACTGCACTACTGAGAGCGTTTTCATATAAGCGATTTGTACAGTGTTTTCTGGTATAGTCATACAGGATTTAAAATCCCCCTCAGAGCGAGGGCTGGCTCGCCAAAGGGATGACAGGCAGCATTCCGTCGTCACCCGGGCAGAAAAGGGTCATCCACTTTGTCAGTGGTGAGACCCTAGAGGAGGAGTCCAGCGATGAAGAGGAGCTCTTCGACGAGCCAGTCGATACGGTGAGCAGGTCTTGCAAGTGTTGAGCCCCCCTTCCGTTCACAAAGTGCCCAGCCGGTGTCGGTTTAGTTTTATACCGTTATTGTTTTCATTTGGTCATTTGTCACCTTCCTGAAACTGTTGAATGAAATTTGATTAGCACAAGACCATGTTCTTTTCATAAACCTGCATAAGTACACCATCACCTAGAGGTCGTGAGTAAAGAACGGAACAGAGCGATGTATGTAAACTATTCATACTTAGTAACAATACTGAATTTAAACTCTCTGTACAAAATATAGAGTATGTAACCTATGTAGCATAAATAGAAATTTGCTCAACAAGCTCAACCAGTTTTTTCCCACAAGCTGTAAGACTCTTGAACTCCCTACAGTTCCTCACCAAACTTCGAGTTCTAGTGAGTTCGAGAACCGAGGTACCACTGTGTGTATATGTATATATATATAAAATATATGTGTGTGTGTTCCCACCTAACAGATTTGTTTGTTTTTCAATTGAATTGTACAGGTTATAGGTCACATTAGGTTGGAATTTTTTTTTTATTATTTATTATGGTCTTTATTATTTATTATGGTCTAATTTTTGCCATTTAACAAATGTGTGTACACTTTTTATATCCACGGTACCATACTATATTATGTATAGGTCACTTGCATACTACATCTCTATGCTATATAGTCCACATACTATATATAATGTACAGAAAGTTTATATTAAATATTATGCATGGATAGTTTACATACGTCATTCTATGCATGTCATAGTTTACATACAGTTTATGTTCTGCTGCTACGCTTCTGCTGCTGTAGTATCCGCAGATATTTTTTACAAATCACACTCTATCTATATACTGTGTGTCTAACCCCTGTGATTGTATACATACAGCCCCCCATGTGTCTTATGTTGTCCCACGGTCCTGTACCGCTCGTACCAGCTGCATACCTCGTACCACTGCATACTAGTGTATCTGCCACTTGATTTGACTTGAGAAACACTGACCTAAAACCACAGGGTGTTATTGTATGCCGTTGGCCCACCATGTGAAAAATAAACATTTTATAATAATTCAAGTAAACACACCGTAATATCCTAATATTTCCCTCCTTTTGTCCCTCCTTTGTCAGATTACTGTGAATAATGTCATTTTTTTTTTTTTTTTTTGCTGTTCCCGACTTTTCTATTCAGGCTCAGCTGTCATGGAGGGCATATTCCCGCTTGCTTTGGGGGCAGTTTCGTAGGAAGTCCTTTCGGAGTGAGTCCTGATTAGCTAGAGCGTACCACACACTCCTCTCACTATTGTCAGTTGCTTTTATTTTGAAAAACATACTCGACTCTCACTTGAATCATCTCTTGTCAGCCTGTGATTATATGGGGGGAAAACTGGCCAGTCTGGCTGGACTTAATGAGGCCAGGTACCAGTATGCAGCTGATGAACATGAGCGTTGGAAGAAAAAGGTGTGTGGGGATTGTGGGAAAATAACTGTGAAACTATGAAATGTTATTGTGTAGCTCAAGTGATGGGCAGAATCAGGGACTGGACCACCAACAATTGCTCTAAGACTACACTGCAAGTACGGCTTCCCCTATAAAACTGCCAAAAGATTTTAATCAATGTATCAATGAAAATTAATTTTATTTGTGATTAAAAGTGGAATCTATCTTGGAGCAGGAGAAACCACAGCGCTGATCGTTTTATGGCAATTGCTTTCAACGACATATATGCTCATTTTCCCTTTGAAACCAGAATAAATACAGCCCATAGACACCCAATGACACCGTGCTTCACTGGAAGTCCAAGCCTCGATATTTCAGTGACGTGTTTTCGGAGCCTGTCCAGACGCCATGCTTCACTAGGAGCTTCCTACATTTTTTTTGCTTAGGCAACATTGATTGGACAGATAGACATGCAGTCAGATATTGGGGAAGATGGTGGTGCAGGAGGTAGTGCTATCGTTTGGCAACCAGAGGGTGGCAGGTTTGAGCCCTGGTTCCTCCTGGGCCCATCAAAGTGTCCTTGATCAAGACACTGAACCCAAAATTGCTCAAGGTGTGCAGGTTGGCGCCTTGAATGGCAGCCTTCACCACCGGTGTATGAATGTGAGTGTGGATGGGTGAATGTGAGGCATGGATTGTAAAGCGCTTTGATTACTCATAGGAGTAGGAAAGCGCTATATAAATGCAGTCCATTTACCATATTTTAGATCTGCCTGGAAACCAGGCTTCTCTGCATGGTAATTAGGAGACATCTTAACAAGACAGGATAAACTACCAATAACATTAATACTGACAACTGACACACACTGTTGCCGGTGTTGGCTTGCGTTATTCATTCATCCTGTCACATGCAGAGGCACAGAGGTGTTTTGTTGCAACCCAGAGTGACAGTTTATAGTTTCGTATGTTATCCTACACTACTGGCATGTGTAAATATCGCAAATACACCTGTTATCATTGAGTTTTAAAGTTTAATCGCTTGTTTAATTTTCAGTGAAAGTTCAGTGATTTTCAGCATACTAGTTTTGTAGTTAGCTCACTAACTAAGCTGTCTGTATGTTCAAAATGGTCAAATTGCCTGAGAAGGAGCAATGCTGGTATGACAGGATAATAGATCATTTCTTATAGAAAGACAGGAGAGTAGACTGTACATAAAAGTAGCTGATTGGTTAAAAAAAAAAAGTAATTTTTTTTATACTGCCAACTGCTGACACTGTGCCTCCCCCATTTTAAAAATCACCATCCGTCACTGAACTGGACAGGTCATAGCCAGAGACACTGAGCTGTCACCTACAGACTCAGCATAATCAGGACACACTTGGCAGAAATCTGTGGGTGTAAACCCTGTAGACAATATTCAGTATGCACTATATACATTATATATATATATTGTTATATAAATCTGTGATCCATGTTTGCATGTAAACAATCCCATAGTTCAGTGCTTCATTTTCGACTGAAGTCTGTGGGATTTATTTCCAGCTATCAAGACGTGAAAGTACTGCTGGCGGCTCTTCCATCATGAATAAGAAGAGGCATCTTTCTTCCCGGACTACCAGTTGCTATGGGACAACAGGTTCTCCAGCAGAGCCCTGCCATCCAGGCTCTGTGGTCAATACAGATCACATACCAGAAGGGTCTTGCAACAGAGGGTACCAGGAAGACAAACAATAAACACTGCACATGCAACAATGTACTTTTAAAAAATTCCCATGCCTCTTCAAACGTTTTGCTATTTAACTCCATCCAGTTTACAGTTTCTAGTTTGAGTCTCATACCATTAAATTTAGCCTTCCTAACATTGTATACTTTTATTTTGGACTTTGCTCTTTGGACACTACAATTAACCTTGAATTTAACCATGTTATGATCATTACCGTCCAATGGTTCTAAAACATCAAATTTTCCAATCCTATCCTGGTTATTAGAGAAAACAAGATCAAGAAGGACTTCTCCCCTGGTAGGGGTATTAACAAACTGAGTAAAAAAATAATCCTGCACTAATTCCACCATCTCAAGTTCATTTACAGAAGAGCAAGAGACTGTGTCCCACTGTATCCCAGGTAAATTAAAATCACCCATAACCACCACATCATTTTTATTACTCATAATCCTGATATCATCATATAATATTCTGCTTTCCTCTACAGCTACATTAGGTGCTCTATAACAAACCCCGACAATTAGGCCATTTGAGTTTTTAGCACCTAGTTTTATCCATACAGCTTCTGTACTTTTATTTTTAGCAGTGAGCTCCCTTGCCTGCAAGTTTTCTTTTACGTATACTGCAACACCACCTCCCTTCTTTCCCATCCGGTCTCTACGGAACAACGTGTAACCATCCATATTATATTCTTCACCATCATTGTCACTCATCCATGTTTCAGTTCTTCCTATAATGTCGTAAGTGTCCGATGAAATTAAAGCCTCTAAATCATTAATTTTGTTTCTAATACTCCTAGCATTTAAATACAGACCGCAAAGGGTAGGCCCTTTACAGTGCCCACTTTTAATATTTATTGGGGCTTTCCGTCTCTCCCCACCTAAATTCTTAACTAACCTCCCTGCCCCCCCAGTCCCTAGTTTAAACATTCCTCAACTACTCTACACATACACCTCCCCAATACACTGGTTCCCCTCTGGTTCAGATGCAACCCATCCGGCTTGAACAGGTCCCACCTGTTCCAGAAGATCTTCCACTGCCCCATAAACCTAAACCCTTCTTTCCTAAACCACCATTTTAGCCACGCATTTAATCCCCTTATCTCAGCTAACTTCCGCGACTTCTATAAATTTATCTTGCAGAACAGCCCTCCTGCCCTTTCCTATGTAGTTGGTGCCAACATGCACCACGACCAATGGATCCACCCTGGCTGGGGCCAAAAGCCTGTCCACTCGATTCGGAAGGTCCCCTACCTGGGCACCAGGCAGGCAAGACACCGTACGGGACCCTCTATCACGGGTGCACACAACTATCTACACCTCTAATAGTTGAATCCCCTACTACCACAACCTCCCTCCTCCTGGGGGTTGTCGGCTCCTTGGTGCCCAAGGGCTCACCTGCCTCCCCAGTCTCTTCCGGCTCTAAAGCTGGAAGCACATGAAAGCGGTTAGACACCGTCACTTCAGGGGATGCCGCCTCTGTGAATTGTGTACACCCTTTTCTACGTATATGTTCACCCAGCTCTCTCGACCTACCTGTTCATCATTCCCCCCGCTTGTGACGTAGACAAAGTAAAACACTATATTAACACTTGCGTTAAAACGTAACTTTTTTTTTAAATTATCCGACAGCGTCAGCGATAACAACCTTAAAATTAAACTTTTAAAATGATCAAATTAACAATTACCTACCCGAGACTAACTTCCTGCTGCACCACATTTAACTAAAATAAAGCGAAGTTGCTCTAGGGAGGCCGAAAAATCACAAAAAAAACTCTCGCAAAGCAGGCTACTGCCGGAGATGGAAAAAAGTGGATTTTAGATATACCAATGAGTTGTTACCCAGAAATTTCTCAAAAAGTTGACTTAATTTTTCCTAAATGCTCCGCGTTTCTTGTAAATGTTAGTGTTAACGATTTTCTTTTGTAGAAATATCATTTATGTGAACCCTTTCTTTTGAACTTTTACGTCAATTCGGGCAAATGTGTTGGTCAGCTATGTAACTGATTGGTAACTTAAAGGCGTATTCTTTTCTTAAGCACAAAAAGAAACAAAGCGATTTTCATATTCAATCACAAAAGCAACAATTAACCGACGAGGATGGGATTCGAACCCACGCGTGCAGAGCACAATGGATTAGCAGTCCATCGCCTTAACCACTCGGCCACCTCGTCGCCTGCGCCATAATGTTCTACTTACTCTTTATAAAGGGCTATTAATTAAACGCTAATAATGTAAATGAATAAATATATTCTGAATTTAACTGCCATTTACTGTTTTGAGTGAAATTTAAAATTCAATACAAAAGCCCTTTTGCGTGCAATTTATCTAATCGCGTTTATAGGATGTCATAGGCCTATTTGTAGGCCCCACCATAACAGCATCAGGATTCGCAGATGATATCAGAGACGCGCTCTGATAGTCAAAAACAAAATTTCTACAAAATTAACTGATATTACAGATATGTGAGATTTCATGTATAGGCTATGTAGGCCTATATAATACAATTGAAATATGTATAATCTTTGTTACGAAACAGAGAGTACATCGCGTCTGACACACAAATATTCTCTCTGCGCAAATAAACGGGGAAATAAGGGATAACTAAGTGTAATTATATAATAATATGAGTTTGTCCGGACTTCTAGACCCATCGGTGAGCTGATACTACGTACTGCGCAACATTTCCCAGTTTACTCGAGTCCTTTCACCCATGTCTGTAGGTGGCAGTAAGACGACGAAAGAAAAGTACTTCCTGTGTGTGTGTGTGTTTAGTTTTTCGTGCGTGATTAGTTTGCTACCTGGGTAATTGATGAAATGTTTATTTCTGACGTATCTTCTTAATCCGGGCCCGTTATGATTGAATTAATCGAAAGGAAATATGATTCAGATATTTAATTATAAGAGGTATTTTACAATGGCCCTTTTAAAGTGAATTTACATAGTTATGAACGCAAAAAAATATCGTTTCTTCGCATTAAATCCCGTGGTGTGCTTTCATGTCACCTTGCATAGTATTAAACTTTATACAGTATATAATTTAATTTTAGAATGACTCGTACAAGATGCATGTCAGTCTTAACAGCTTTAATGCAGTGTTCCTTTCCATTAAAAGCAGGAATTGTGACTCATTACTCGAGAGGGATCCAACTTTATTTTTCTGAGAATTATATGCTTAACTTTGTTTTTTTTTTTTCTTTTTTTTTTAGTAATCGTGTTATGAATATCACTTGCGTGAAAGTCCCATGATAAGGTATCAACTTTTAAAATTCAGGTTTCTTGGTTTGTTACTTTTTTCTGTAATATGCTATCTTGATGAGACCACTCAACCGCTTTCGCCGCTTTCCAAAATTCCCTGCTGATTAGCCGCGCCGACCTCTAAAATTGCCCGGCTCAGCCAACTGCTGGTGAGAATTCCCATCTTAAGATATACAAGGTTTATGTGTTGCCATATGCCTTTAATAATATAGGTGAGTTGCGCACATGTAATGCGCATTCCTTACAGTAGCCTATAATAACATGCTACAGGGGTCTCTCCATAGGTGTACACTGTTAACTATGGACCTCGGAAATAAATGCGATCGGACGTTACAGGATTGGACCTATCGGTAAGTCGACGGATACCATTATTTGTCTTTATTTCATTTTCTCTTAATTAGTTTTGCGTTTAGTCATTTAGTCTATAGTTTTCATCTTTAGGTTTTTTATAGTCTATTCTTTAACCTTAGTTTCTCTTTATTAGTTTCAGAAGTGGGTCAGGCTTCCATGTCACTGCACGTTGGGCTTGCATACCTGTGTATATAAATCCCCAATCAAGAGAATCTTATATAAAGCGAAACATAGTTCTTCTAAATTTTCTACTGAGCCATACTTTCACTTTTCATTTTATTCATTTTTAAACATCACTTTTGATTCAGTTTATGCTTTTATATATGCTTTTATTTATGCATTTTCTTTTAATGTATGCTTTTTTAACTATTTATGTAAAACACTGAATGACCTTGTGTATGAAATTGTGTTATACAAATAAACTTGCCATTGTTACAGATGAGAATGATGAAGAACAGATGATCTACATTGTGGCTTTCAATAACTGAACGTTATTGAACTAAAAAAAAAACACAAGAAACAAAAGGACCACAAGGGATCAAAAACAAGAAACCAAGAAAAAGACTAAAACTAAGGCAGGGAGAGACACAGGAAAAAACGTAGTAGACAAGCACACAATCAGCAAACACAATGACCAACCAAGGAACAAGGGCAAGAGCAGGCACATATATACACAGATAACAAGGGACAGGTCTGGGGAAAACAGTACGCAGGTGATGGTCATAATCATGAAGGACTCAAACAATTGAAAAGGGGTAACCAGCGACACCTGCTGGCCAGTCAGGCAGTCCTAGATGATAGTTCATTGATTTCTCTTTTTTGTTATGTATGCCTTTCTCACATTGAACAGTGAAGCTGAACAATGCAGCACAGGAGACAGACAACCCTGTTTGGGACAAACAAGTGTGCTGCTATGGATTTCATGCAAAGGTATTGGCACCTTCAGCAAATGAAGGATATGATAAATCTTGCTTTTGTTTATTACTAGTTTTTTTTTTCTTCCATTTTTGTAATTCTGTAGCCTTCTACCTCCGTGCAGTGCAGGAACTGCAGGGCTCTCTACACAAGTGAGTTCAGTGTCCCCTGGGCAAGCAAGTTCAGGTCCCTCTATAGCAGCTAATTAAGTGTCACCTGTCCCAGCAAGTGCACAGTCTTCTGTGCCAGCATCAGCTTCTGATCCTCGAAAAGAGTTCATCCAGTCCATGGATTGATTCTACTGACGTCCCAATGCCCCTCTGCCATATTCTGGCCCCCACAACTGTACCAGTCATCTTCAAGCTCCGCAGGACAGGCAGTGGATAAAAGGAGGACTGTATCTCCGCGCACAGACACGCCACATTTAGCACACTGAAGGTTATCAATGCCAAGGCAAATTATACATCAGCCTGCAGTTTCTGCCCTCAATCAGTTTCTCTCACAACTCCTAACCCTGCCCAAGGCTCCCTGCTTCTATAACTATTGCTCCTGTAGGCCATCCTCCCCCTACTCTACCTGCCGAGAGGCTCTAGAAACAGTTGGGAGCAATCGGTGTAGCAATGAACCTTGGCACAAAGCCAGTGGCCTCGGCTAATATTATGGATACATATACTGTCCTCACAATCCATCTTGCTGCTTAAGCAGACCATAGTTCCCCGCAATGTAATAAAAACCTGTACCATTTTACTTTGAGGGGACACTTTTCTGGTCTCTACAATGATAACTTAAATCTTACAAAAATCTGTGATTGCAATCAAAAAACTAGAATTGCTAAAAATAAATGTGTACTCCAATTTGTCCGTGAGCGGTTATTGTGATGGACTGCCAATTCATTGTGTTCTGCGCACATGGGTTCAAATCCCTTCCTCATTAAGAAATAAAGTCATTATAGGTAGTGTTCAGATAGGGATTTGGGCAGGTGTCCAAACAGTCATGTATTTGAATGCTGTCAGGTGAGAGGAAGTCACTAGGTCACCCTGGCCTTTGACCTCATATTCTATTGATTGATCTATTATCTTTCCCACAGTCTGCAATACACACTTTTGCTACAATGGCTAACTTGAGGCTGGTGGGTGGTGAGTCACCATTTCAAACCTTGGCAGCATAGTTGCATTTTTGTTGGGCCCAGAATGCTTTAGGGGAGCCTGCAGTCAGACCCCAAGCTTCCCTCTCAACTCTGTCTGTCTCAAAAAGAAGAGCAAGATGAGATATTTTAAAAGAAGCACTACCATTTATCTGTATTGCAAATTCTATGCAAATGGAAAATAAAGGATCATTTCAAAACCCTACAGGTAGTTTTATTGATCTGCGGTTGCATTGCTTTATGTAAGAATATGTCTCTTCTCTAGTAATGTGTCAGTATCATATTTTTTTAATCCTTTGCGACATTTTCAGAATAAGCATTGGAAAGTAGATGGCAGTCAACTACATTTATAACTTAAAATGTCAGAAATAGCCAGACACATATAAAGAAATAAACATTTTATAATTACTAATTTTACTGAACTTACTAAAATTTTAATTTCTTAAATAGTTGAAACAGTGCAAATAACAAAACCTAATAATTACTGGGGAATCTGTCGTTCATCACAGCAGATAAGATTTAGAAGTAAAAACTGCCATAGAGTGGGCGCTGTACTTGTATATTTTAATAAAAACTATCGTTTTAATGAGTGTACTTTGATCGTACATCCATTTTCTATGCGCGCTTGTTCTGGGCAGGGTCGGGGGGTCTGGAGCCTATCCTTGAAGCAACGGGCACAAGGCAGGGAATAAATAAATGTAGATAAGAACGTCCTCTGAATAACGGCAATAATAAAACTCATGTCAGGATAGACGGAGACTATGTTGAAGGTGAAAAAATCAGCCTCTTTTTTGAGGTTTTTCAGTCTAACGCTGAGGGCGCAACATAAAACAATGGCTGTTGTCTGACAAAGGTTTTCAGTATTTTTCACTGAATCGCTGCATTGTTTTGAGAGCTGGAAAAAACACAGTTTGCAGTAACAATCTACTGCATTTTAACAATGGAGACAAAAATGGACCGAAAAACTATTATCATCAATATTACATATCTGGTACAAGAACATTTAGTAAACATTGACATTTAGGTATTTCATGTCTTCCTGAAACGTTAATTACCATAATAAAAATAAAAACTGAATAGAATACAAAAGAATCTTTTTTGACAAGTAACCGAAGCTGGTGAAACTTTTTGTTGGTATAGCTTATTATATTTTCCTAAGGAAAGACATTTTTTTAGCTACAATTTATTGATGTGTCTTCCTGCTGGTTATTAATAATATGGCAATTAGTAGCAGTATTTGAAAAGTACAGCAGTATTTTTTTGTTTATTTGTTAAGTAAGGGATAATGTACAGGCCGTTTCTATTGTTAATTATTACACGGCTCTCTGGAATGCTTGATTCTGATTGGTCAGTTGAGACATTTGCAGGATCATTATTTTCAAATAATAACCGCTCCAAAGTAATAACGCATAGTCACGTGGTAGCCGGTACAGGCAGCCGGTAGTTATCGCAGAAATAAGCCCCGACAGTGTGATCAGGACCCGACGCGAAGCGGAGGGTCTTGTATCACACTGAAGGGGCTTATTTCGCGATAACTACCGGCTGCCTGTACATTATCCCGCTTATTACACGGCTACTTGCCACATAAGGAAAATGACATGGACATGAATATGAATTTGAAACATTTTATTGGCATATTTGTTTTAAAATAACATTTTTATCTTTCCGCGAAACGATATAGTACCACGTGACTATGCGTTATTACTTTGGAGCGGTTATTATTTGAAAATAATGAACCTGCAAATGTCTCAACTGACCAATCAGAATCAAGCATTCCAGAGAGCCGTGTAATAATTAACAATAGAAACCAGCAACACGGTTTCGAACATGAGATCAGTATTACTTATATATATATATTCAGCACACTTAAAAACAAAGTTGAACGAACTTTAATGTAGGCTAAGTGCAGACGGTGAAGTCACTATGTGACGTACAGCTGAGCGAGGCGCAGCTCCACGCGCTGGAGACCCAATTATGACCGTTACTCAGATAATTCGTTGTAAAAAAATACGAGTTGCTGTTGTGGTTAACTCTACAGTAAGTGAACAGTACCTTAATTCTTTCTTAAATTGTAGTGGTTTATTAAAATTAATTTTATTCCATATTCCAATATGCGCAATGTGCTAAACAACTTTTACCTCAGATTTATGACACTTAGCAATTAAAATGATACCCATTTCTGTCGACTTATTTAAAATACTGCCGACTTAAACTGAGTAGCTTCACACAACATTGACGGTGCAAGCAGATTCTTTATCCTACAGTGAAGTATTATAGTCAGTTATTTACATCGATCGTAGTAGTATATCGATCGTCGCTGTCCGTTGAAAAACACGTAGATCTATCTCAAAATATTCATTATTTTGGGAGCTTGGAAAAAACGCCTTTTCTCTGGAACTGCTTTACAAAATAAATCCAGAACAACGTGATGAGTCGCCCTTATTTTCACCACAAAAACAAATCTAGAGTAAGCCTATCTTTAAGTCAAAACTCAAAACCCATCTGTTTAAGTTGGCTTACTCTCTTTAGACCTATTGTTGTCTCATTATGTAAATAACTCTTTTTAATTATTTGTTATTATTGTTTGTCTTTTACGGACTATGTAAGGTGACCTTTGGTTTTAGAAAGGCGCCCACAAATAAAATGCATTATCATTATTATTATTATCTTTACATAGCCGTCTAGGGATGGTTTATCGTTTTAAATTCACCTTCGTGGACCGTTGTCATCGAGGCAAATATGTCAGTGTCAACAAGATACAAACTAATCTCACTTCATAGTTAATGATTTAGTTAGCTAACTTATAGGTATCAACATTAAGTTGTTCAAATTAGCGATATAAAGTAGCCTAATACATATATAAACTAGCATGGTAAGTTAGACGTCAAACACTAGCAGTAGACAGAGGAATATGGACGTAGCCTATTACATAGTAAAAAACCACAGTTGTCAAAGATAAGCTATAACTACTTGCCTGACTTCATATAAATGAATGAAATAATTTGTTTTTCATTCTGTGACTACATGACTACAGCTAACATCATGTCTGGGTTTACAATATTAAACCCACCTCAGTCAGCTCCCCTCTCCCCATGTGTTTGTCATTCTCGCCATCCATTCCCTCACCTATTCAGCCAGCCTATCAGCAGAAAGTCCCATACTGCCCTACAAAGGCAAACTATGCTGACACTGAAACTGAGAAATGGGGCTTCAAAGTTTTGTGACTGTGAATGAATAATGAATAAAATGAAAAGTGTGTAGTAGGTGGGTAAATTACAGTGCTCTAGCTGAGTTAAGATATTTTGTCACGATATAAAACAACACCTAACACATCCAATTTTCGTCATAGCTTCATTTTGGTAAAATATGCAGTTATGGTATTTTGCCTTTAGGCAGTGTAACTCTCGCACGTATGGTGTGTGCATTTGTTATATAAATATTAATATAAGATTTATACATACGAATAAAAAACGTATTGGACTTGACTTATTGATTTAACGAGTAATCAATTAAATGTTTTGTGATGTCAGTGAGTCTAAAGAATCAGAGTCGATCGGAGAACATCAGGCTTTGACAAATTGTGAAAATCTTCTAGGTCTACTTTCTCACGGTCACGCAAAGTATTCGCATTCAGGACTACACAACCTAGAGTGCATTGCGCCTGCGACTGACGTCATCCGTGTTTTCTCTCGTTCGGTTTTGCCAGCTGCTGGGACGCCGCATGAGCTCACTTCCTGTTTTCTGTGCGCATGTGCAGACGTCGATGGGTCGCACTGAGCTGCTGTGATTCACGCAGGAACTCTTTTTAGAGTCGGGATGCGTTAAAGTAAGGCATTCAAGGCAACGCTTTCATTATTCGTGTGTGTTCCACTGGTGTGCTTCGAATATTGTTTTATGCATAGAATGCTGATTATAATGATCTGTAAACGGGAGTAATTCATATCGTCAAGTGTGTCTTCTGTCTGTATTTTCTTTGAATAGAAAGAATCCGACTGTTGCGCATATCTGCGTAACTGCTGTTCAAGCAAAATGAACAACAATATCACGACAAACGTTTGTACTTTAAAAGGCACTTTTCAGTTAATCACCTGTACTAATCGGGTTAACTGGTAGCTTGCTGGCTCCAGTGACGGTGTTATTTTATTTTCTGATCTGATTTAAATTAAAACCAGCTAACCCGCGTAATCGTGGATGTGAACATGCCCTTCGTCAACTAGATGTTTTATTTCTCTGATCACTTAATATACACTAGTTAGTGTTTTGTTTCACATATATGAAGCTATAGACAAACAAATATTTACCATGTGTGTTTGTGTTTAATGTTGTTATAACCAGCTATGGATAATCAGGCAGAAGTATCCTTTAGGGCAGAATTGTGCGTTTTTTAAACCTGTTAAATATATGTGTGAATTAATTTTAATGATGAGTATAAGGACTTCAAACCATATACCCTGCAGCATGTTGCAGAATTACGCTACTTAAGTCTTCAATGACAATTCACTTATTGCCAAAACTAAACCTCATTAATTTTCATTGTTTTGGGCTTTGAACTATGCAGCGGTTGAGTTTGGAGTTTTACTCTTTTGTCTTTCTGTTCATCTCTGTCATGTTTAACCTTGCTTTTTAAAAAATGATGACTTCATTGTTTTTCCAGTATATTCTAAATCGCTTATTCAACATTTCGGCAATAGATTAAATTTCAGCGTCTTCAAGTGTTACTAATGGAAGTGAGTCCTACTTTAGTTTTTGCCCGTCTTTTTAATGATTCTGTCCCCTCCCAGGACTGAAAGTTTTTTTTTTTTCCACTGGCACTCAGATCCCTGGCGGAGCTCCAGGTGCGCTGATTAAATCGGACACGTCCGATGCAGCAGCCGCTCTATTAGGAGGAATGGTCTTTTGTCTGGACCTGCACTCTGTTTGGGTTTTCACCAGGGTGGAGGGGAAGGCTTGAAAGGACAACTTCTGTTTTGAAAGGAATTACTGCAGAGTTTAATTACAGATAGATGCTGCGACAGATGAAGGCAACTCTTTTTATAATGTATGAGCTCATGTATAATTTTATAGACCGTTACTGCCTTTGCAGCTGTAAGAGCAGAAGGGAGATGAGGA